GTATTGTAACGGGCTGAACGCCCTTTGGATAGCTCCTCGATGGAATCTCGGCCTACTCGCAGAACCCGGGTGCTGTCTCGAGCACCCGGATTCTCTGCGCACCGCCCGAACGACGTTCAGACGACAGCCGCAGGACCCAGAAGCTGCCTCGTGCACCTAGACTTCACCGGTCCGATTGTTACTCGGGTAACCAGCTTGTATATAGACAGCTACGTAGCTTGGGAGCTTAGCTCCTCATCGAATACAACCTCTTGTATACCTCGCGATTGCTCCCCAGAGCGCAGCCCCTTACAGACGGGATCTCTAATTCTTAGTTTCCTCTAGTCGTATGTACCAGAATAGTGGAATCGATGTATGATATACGCAGAAAATCAGTGTTTGCAGACGGAGAAAGATTAGAGAGTGCTTACGTGACGTTACCGCTATCCCAAACCTGGCTTGGCACTGCTGCACGGATCGAAAAAGCCTACTCTACCACCCTCTTGCCCACGCTATAGAGGCTTGAATAGAGACAAAAAGCAATAGAACAAATCAGCAATGTTGATTCCTCAATTCGTGTAGTGCTTTATTGATCTAAGAGCGTAGTTATGGAGTTCTTTTCTGCAGGTACATGTAAGAGAGATGAGAGAGTTTGTTGAGAAGCCGACACAACATAGCCAAAGGTGAGTACCACATGTCCCTGCCTTCACAAGGCACACCTCCCATTGCTGTTACAGTATGTTGTATACGAGTTAATCAAGGAAGCATTCAGGGTGACGCCATGTGAGATTACGCCAGTCTAAGTCATAGTTTGGTCGACAGCTCGGATCGGGCCATGTATGTGTGGTCGCCTTGTCGATCACTGCATGTCCGTTTTGCAAAAAAGAAAAAAAGAAAACAGAAGCTTATTTTTTCTGTACAAATGTAACACAAGGGGCTCAAGTACGGTGACGGTCTGGATAGACTTGACACATGTGACGACGCCGTCAGTGGCGGATTGGATACGAGGGCCCTGCGACGCATGAATACTGATGACATACCTTTTGACTATCATTGATGCGGGACCTAAAAGCACCAATACAAGTGTTGCAGTACTTCCAAAGCATACCCGGTCTGAGATGCTGTTTCGCAATGACATGTCTTGGAGATGAAATGTTTCTCATTGCTCAGGCCTTCTCCGCGGAGAGAGTGATGAAGAGTAGTTGGGTCAGCTGGCCGGCAGCGCCATGGCAGGAAACAAGTTGCGGTGAAGTAGCAGGTTGATGTTTGTCAGGTTGATTGCACGGTCTCCTAAGCTTGCAGTCGAGCCTGGGCTTCCGAATGGTCGTGGACTTTGATGCACCTCTTTTGTCTCATGCCGTACAATGGTGATGGAATTTGCCGAACCCCCAGCCGACTAGACAGACCAGGGTGGATGCGAAGAGAGCAGCTGGCGCGGTGAAGGGGTAAATTGCATGTTCATGGCCAGAGAGACGAGGATAGGCCAGAGCAGGTGCGGAGGGACATTGTCGTGTGCATCCGATACGAGAAAAAAGTGGTCGCTGCAACGTTGTTCGGCGGCTCCGATGTGGGTGTGCATGCAACAACAGCAAACTAGAGCAGGGGTTGAGCAGGCCGGTACCAGAGCACCTACACTACATATCCGGACAATGGTGGTCGTAGAAGGATGCAAGTGCAAATGGCTTTCCATATTTCATCTGCGTGACCCTATGCTCTCCATTGCGGCTGGTGGAGGCGTTGCACCGCCACGTGCTCGCATGATGTGAAACAGGGACCTGTAGGTGTAAAGAGCTGGAGGAGATGCAGTAAGCATGTCGGCTATGTGCCTGTGCAGGTTAGGTATATGCATGGGATTGCCGAGCTGACAAAGGCCATGCTCAGAAGCCGCCAAGGTGTAGTAGTAGTTGGTTAGTAGTAGTATGCGAGCATGAGGAAAGGCACAACGGCTGACAGGCCGGCTACGCGGTTAGCGGTAAATGGTGATCCGAGATTCACTGGTGATCCGTGCGTGCAGCGCGGATGCCCCGTGCCCCCGGCGCCGCCGTCCTGCTCACCACGGCGGCTGGACTGGCAGGCCTCCTCTCGTCGTCTGCCCCTCATCCTGTGCTGTGCTGTGCTGTGTTATGCTGCACTGTACTGTGCTGCTCTGTTCTGGCTTCATCTGACGCTGTCCTGAACTCACGCTGCCCGTCTTGCGCGCCCAATTGTCGTCGCGTCGCTGCATCCGCCAATTCGGCCGTCCCGTCTTTGTTGCGACAGCCAAGCACACACAGGGTCATTCCTTCCTCGCGCCTCTAGACGACGGCCACCATCCCTACTACTCTACTCCAATATACTACATCCTGTGCTGCATCCCTCCTTGCCCTCGCCCGCCCGCCCGCCCGCCTGCTTGTGAGCTTGTCTGTGTGCACGAGTGCATGTATGTATGTATGTATGTATGTATGTACAGAAGATACCAGCGACGATTCCGTACAGCGTATTGCATTGCAGCAAGCAGGCGACTAGCTGCGGCGGACCCACTCGCGCGTCGTGGATCGACAGCATACTTGAGAAAAGGTACCGACAAAGGAGCGTGCGAAACCCACGCCCCATCGCCGACTCAGCAGCCCAAACCAAGGCTCGCCATTTCGTTACAGCTGGCAGCGGCATGTCATGATGTGACAGGCCCTCACCCGTATCCCGCCCACCACTGCTCTGCCTCTGTTTGCTGCCCTCGAGACATGCCAACCCAGGCCTGCCAGCCAATCCCGCCCAACGACCTCTTCACCTCACACATCAACCTGCACGCCGCCTGAAACCCTCCCCGCCCACGCCTACCACGCCATTGGGGGACTAGTCAGCCTCGGCCTACGACATTCCTCACCACCACCACTACCACCACCCTCGCTGTCGCCCTCGCCGTCGTCATCGTCGTCGCTTCTGCTGCTGGCTACACATCGTGTGCTCCTCACTTCTGCGAGAGAGAGAGAGAGAGAGAGAGAGCCCGCCCGCCAGCGCGCGCGCGCAAGGGCGCATACCGCCGCTGATCTGCCCATCACCGCCAGGGTCCCGTCGCCATGCATCAGTACATTCCTCCCCCGCCGCCCCAGCCCTCGAGCACGCCTGCTGGCCATATTGCGCTGCCTCCCCCGCCGCCACGACCAACGGGCTACAACAACCTAGGCGGCATCCCCATTCCTCCTCCCCCGCACTCGACAAGCTGGGGACCGCCACGGCCCCAGTACCAGCAGCCGGGCTACGATCCAGGCCAGTACCACATCTACCCCCACACCCACAACATACCTCCTCCGCCAGGCCCCCCCCCGCCTCAGCAGATTCCCGTCGAGCGCGAGCCTCCTCTGACATCGGCCACCTACATCCCTGGTGGCGAGTCGTTTGGACCTGGCGTTGGCATCCCCCCGCTGCACACCTCCAGGGGCTACTCGGAGCCCTACTACAGAGACAACTCCCACTCAGCCACCACCGACGCCCCGCCCCAGCCCTTTTCCAACAGCCTCCTCGACAGCGTCCAGAGCATCCAGTATGGCTCCAATGGCTACAACATGCCCCCGACGCCCAATGTCCGCAATAACCTCAACATACCCACCGACAGAACAAACACCTACGACTCGCTCGGTCCTCCAACAGCGACCCTGCAGAACCCCATGGTCCAGAGCCATGGCAGCGTCTACTATCGCCCAGAAAGCAACGGCACAACGCCAATATCCCCCCACGATGCCTCCATGCAATGGCCCGCCGAGCGCGTTCAGCAGTGGCTGGCAAGCAACAACTTTTCCCGCGACTGGCAAGAGACGTTTAGAACCCTGGGATTGGAAGGGTCTAAATTTCTCGACATTGGCCGTGGTCATGGAAGCAAGGGAAATGTGGCCATGATGCACCAAGTCATCTTTCCCCAGCTAGCCAAGCAGTGCATTGCAAGTGGGACTGGGTGGGATCAGAACAGGGAGCGTGATGAAGGTCGCAAGCTCCGCAGACTCGTTCGTGGCATTGTCGAGTCAGGCGCTTCAAATTCATATCGGCTTCCACCCCAACGCTCCGACACGGGCATGACGAGCGCAGGCACAGAAGGCACCCTGGAGAATTCGCCCTATCTTGGATCTCGTGGTATGGACTTTGGTTCAACGCCAACAACTGCAGGCAATGGCGAAGAGAGCCCCGGGCGCCAGCTACTCGTGCATTCGCCTGGCGCGAGTATAAATCCGTCCAGGCGCATTTCCACACAGCAGCGCAACTTCACCGTCCCCGGCCTCGGCCCCACGCCAGACTTTTCAGAAGGACCTGCGCGCAGTCCCTACTCGCGGGAGGTTCTCCAAGGTCTCGACGTCAAACAGGTACGACACAGCCCAAATACGTCTTCTGAATTCGGACCATCGTCACTGGGCGCTGGAAACCACCGTCAGTCAAGCCCGCAGCACAGTCCAGGTCTCCCATCTGCTCGCCTTGCTACAAACGGCGGACAGCTGAGCGCGGGCCTGACCACCCAAGGCTCCCGTTATTACTCGCCCCACAACCGTGTCAACAGTGCTGAGTCGATCAATTCTACTTTTGCCAACACTGGTTCAGGGCCACCTTCTGGCAGATCCTTTGAGGGCCGTTCTGAAAGCCGTAGTGAGAATCGGAAGAATGGGTGGGAAGGCACACGACCCAATGCGGGCCTCATGGATATTCCGACCAGCGCCAAGGACCACGAAAAAGGCTTTTTCAAGAAAATTATGGGTGGAAGAAAGAAGGACAGCCACCCGTCTGACGATACTAGTCTAGATTCCCCGACCAGTCCAGCCAGCCATCGCACTCACCCTAGCGGGTCTCTTTTTGGAAAGTCGACTATGAACTCGAGTGAGACATCTCTGAACGAGCGCCCTCCATCAAGGCGCTCTGCACAGACAGATTCCGACAACCGTGCTGCTGGTCGTGGCCGCACTCACGGGAAGGAAGACCGGAAGTTTGCTTTTGTCACACCAGACGGCTGGAATTACCGCCTTCTCGACATCACCAACGTCGATTCAGCGACTTCATTACGGACACTATGTTGTGAGGAGCTGATCCAAGGATTAAGCAAGGTACCCGGAGTTGAACTGCACTTGACTGTTCCTGGCCAGTATGAACACGATCGCCCGCTTTCCGACTCCAAGTTGCTCAAGGCTCGGTCGCAATATGGAAACCGGTTTGGTGAGCTGAAGATCTTTGTCAAAATACCTCCAGAAGGAGCAGTTGGGTCGTCAACCGGGCTTGGTGTCTCGCTCCCTCACGCAGCTGCCCGGGCGGTTGATGACAATGCATACTCGCGTTTCAATGCCGACTCCCAGCTGGATTCGCCAGGCGCCAAATCAGAAGAGTCTACGCTGGTTGCAGACAAGAGCGCAGCTCTACGCAAAATGGTCGATAAGAACGAGCTTTTACCCAGTGATGCAGCCGAAAGGTCGCACGGCGGCGGCGGCGGCGGCAGCAGCAGTAGTAGTAGCAGTAGGCCGCCCGAGTCCTGGGATTCGCGTGGCGACGTATCCGAAGAGGAACGCCGCAAGCTGCTTGAAGCAGCTGCAGAAGAACACCGAAGGGAGATGAAGCGGAAACAAGAAGAATATCTCAAAACTCGATTCCCCAAGATGAATGGGCAAAGCCCTGATCTGAACTCAGCGACCAGCGACAGCATTAGTTACCGAAGCCAGCGGGTCATTGACTTTGACGAACCACGCGCTTCGCCTTACGAGGATCTGAAGAAACCCTTCGATGATCAACAGCGCAAGAGCAAGCAGCTCGTACCCTTGAGAGAGCCGCCGCCTGTACCGGCTGACACCAGTACACTTTTGAAAGCTAACTCGTTGACAAAGAACAAGAGTAGGTGTTCGTGGCCGGAGAGTGATGACGGCCAAACAAAATCCTTTTCAGCAGAATCCCAGCCTGAGAAACGCAAAGCCATACCTCAAGGCGCAAGTGGGCTTGGCGGCATTGCCGCAGCCATTATTGGAGCAGGCAACCTAGGAGCCGGTATTGGAGCCGCCAACAGAGCACCCAACAAGGGTCCCCTTCCTCCACCAAAGGACGAAAGCTCGCCAGAAGGTATCCGGCCCTCGCAACAAGTACTGCAGGAGAACGGTTTCGGCGCCAGAACCGGTTCCGGTAGAAATAGTCCAGGTGGGTCGCCCCGCAGCCCTGGTGAATATACCATGAGCAAAGGCAACATACCATTCAGAATTCCTGACTATGAAGAAGCTTTCAGTAACGATTCCCCGACCGAGCGGCCAGACCTTAGCATTTTGGTGCCGGATTTTGCAGGCCCCAACCAAAGGGATGATCGATCTCGGTCGCCAGGCCGAAGCCCTCACACCGCACAACCCACTGAACCTAGCCTTACCAGGGAGCCATCTAGGGCATCAGTATATGGCCCAACCCATGACTTTGAGGAAGCCCGAGTCTCTTTTATCACAAAGTCGCCCAACCTTGATCCAATGGATGCGGACGACGATGATTCTGATGATGGACTATTCCAGGCGCCACTCGCCGGACGAGCTGGTCCTCCTCCACCTGAAAAAGACATACCCGTTACTAGAATTAACTCTCGTAGCCGGAGACCGAACCTCCGGCTCAAAACGCAAAGATCAAAGAACTCACTAGCCCAGGTGACTGAAAAATCCGCAGAACCAAGCGCAATGGGCGATCACGAATCTCAGGCCAGCGATTGGCATCCTGAGTCGGCTGCATCAACAACATGGACCGACTCGCCAGACGACACGAACAAGTTTTCGCGCCGTGAATCATTCGCCAGTGATGTTTGGGCTAACCGCCCACCGGCTGAAACCCTCGTGGACCATCTCGACGAGCTCTTTCCTAACGTCAATCTCGATCAGCCTATGCTTGAGGAGGCCGAGACAGATGGATCTACAGAGTTCATACCAGAGAACAAGCCTTTGCCAGCCGACCCCACTCCTGCGAATCCAACTCTCCATCGGGGTGGTGCTGGACTACAGTCGATTGCACAGCGCAACATGCGCAAGTCAGGTGCTGGCTTGGGACGCACGAAGTCTATTCGTGAAGTCGTCAAGTCGCAGTATCAGCCACTAGAGAACAGACATTTGCCAGGCCATGTACCCGCCGGACTAGGGCCATCACGCGTTGCTACGTTACGCAATGGTGGTGACATAATCAGGAGAAAATCGACCAAGATGTTCAACGCCAGAACGGAACAAGTTCGACCACAGCGCGGATCACGTCTTGTTATGGAGACGATACCCCAAGATCATCTATCCAGCATGCCGTCGCGCCAGCCAACGTTCAAGTGGATGAAAGGACAGCTGATTGGCAAGGGCACGTTTGGTCGTGTATACCTGGGTATGAACATCACGACTGGTGAACTGATTGCTGTCAAGCAAGTCGAAGTCAATGCCAAAGCGGCCGGCTCGGACAAGGACAAGATTAAGGAACTGGTCAAGAGTCTGGATCAGGAGATTGATACTATGCAGCATTTGGATCATCCCAACATCGTGCAGTATCTTGGTTGCGAACGCAAGGAATACAGCATTTCCATTTTCCTCGAGTACATTTCTGGTGGCTCGGTAGGATCGTGCATCCGCAAGCACGGCAAGTTTGAAGAAAGCGTTGTTTCATCTCTTACCCGACAAACATTACTGGGTCTCTCGTACCTACATCGTGAAGGTATCCTGCACCGCGACCTCAAAGCCGACAACATTCTCCTCGATCTCGACGGCACGTGCAAAATCTCCGACTTTGGCATCTCCAAGAAGACCGACAACATTTACGGCAACGACGTGACAAACAGCATGCAAGGCTCTGTCTTCTGGATGGCGCCCGAAGTCATCCGCTCCCAGGGCCAGGGCTACTCGGCCAAAGTCGACATCTGGTCCCTCGGCTGCGTCGTGCTCGAAATGTTTGCGGGTAAACGCCCTTGGTCCAAGGAAGAAGCTATCGGCGCCATTTACAAACTCGGTAGCCTCAACCAGGCCCCGCCCATCCCTGAAGATGTCAGCCGCGTGATTGGCGTCGAGGGCTTGAGTTTCATGTACGATTGCTTTACTATTGATCCCATGGAACGCCCTACGGCTGAGACGTTGTTGCGGGCGCCATTTTGTTTTTCGGATCCGAATTATAATTTCTTGGATACAGAGCTGTATGCGAAGATTAGGGGGGCTTTTCAGTAGATGTTTGTTATTGTTGTTTTTGTGAAGGAGGGTGTGTGTGTTGGGGGGATATGGAAGGCAGCGAGGAGAAGAGAGGAAATATATGTATCGACATGTCATCTTTTTTTTTGGGGGGGGAGGAGGAGGTTCTTGACGATGATGCTGCTGTTGTTGGTGTCCAATTGGTTATATACCCACTTTCTTTCTCCGCCAATTTTTTTTCTTTCATTTCTTTAAAAAAAAAGACATCTTTTACTTGAACAAGCTAACTTCCTTTGTTTGATAAGGTTACTTCGTTGTGGGGAAAGTGGGTGGTTCTTGCTATTCGCAAACATTACGTTCGTTCATTCTAAATCTCTCTCCTATTCTCCCTTTTTTTCTTCCTCTTGGGTTTAATTGATAAGGCTTTAAAGTCTTATCTTTTTTTTCCTCCATTTTTTTTCCGTTTTTTCTTCTTCTTTTTTTTTGGTGCTATGTTCGCTGTCAGTGAGAGAGAGAGAGGTTACGTATGCATATGTGTTTGTCAAGATCGTACGTGGAAAATCCTATATATTCTTACTTATTTTCATAACTAACACAAATGTATATACACCCATACACATGTATATATATTTTAAGGAAAAAAATGAATAAATACTTTGGAGTGTCACTCTCTCCCTATTCCCGCTTGGCACCCCCCGCTTGGCATCTTGTGCCGTGCTTGGCTGGAGTGGTGGCTTGGGTCCCGTGGGCTTCCGGGGGAGAAGGGGGGAGAGAGGTGGCTGTGGTTGTGGTTATGGCTAGAGAGGAAGGGATGATATATGGTAAGGTGTGTACGTGGGGTTGTGTGGGTTGGAGCGGGATTGGCAGTGGGATTATGTTTGTGAGGGATGGACAGATCTATGTGTGGGTGGTGGGCGGGTGTAAGCACGCGGATATGTATATTGGATGTGTTTTACATACATGTGTGCGCGTACATGTTTAGCTTGAAGCTAGGTTGTTTACTAATTAGGTGAAGGAGGTTTGGGGAATGGAACTGAACTCTTAGGAAAGGACCTAAGGGGTACCCGGTTCCATTGGATTTTTTTCGGAGGGGTTGAAAAGAGAGGTGATGGCGATGATGGGTTATGCTGGGGTTCAAGGGTATACCGGAAAACTACTTTTTTTGTGTAATATTTTCTGAATCCAGTATGTATAGATGAGATATTCTCAAAACTTATATTTTTGTTGACTTCTCGGTTGAATGTGGAGGCCCTGTAGGGGTGCACATGTCTGGTTCATGGATGCGGCTAGACCGCTCGACTATATACGCCGTACGCAGCGAGAGAGTATGTAGACAACACGCATGTACTTGGCTCTATTTAGTAGCCAAGATGCTAAATTGGGAGCATGTCCAGGCCCCTTCCTAGACCAGTGATCCCATCCCGCGTTTAGGTGTATGACTTGCACGGCGAGACTAGAGCACCTCGGCATTACTGGATTGGTGAACTTGGCGGTACGCTGGTATAGGGACAATTTACACAGAGGCGTTTTGGCTGGAATAGTATATTGAGCTGAGAGCTTTTTACGGGCTAGTGTGGTTCTAGGCGGGCCAACAACTTGGGCGTAAGACGCAATTGTATCACCCGCTTGCTAAGTACCCATCGGCTTTACGAGGTGTTTCAGACCACCGAACGTAAGCTGACGTGCATGTCAGCATTCAAAAACATGAAGTGCAGTAGCAAATAAGCAGTTGAGGATTGGGAAGCATTTGCCGATGCGCTCGTATCCTAGGACGAGGGCTAGCATCTGCAATGGGCTAAATAGATGGCATCGTCCCGTGCGCATCCGACCTACCGGAAATGCTGCTCCATCGCTTAGCTGCACGCAATTGTCTTGCTAGGTAGGAGAGCCGGGGGGCCTGTGGCATCAAAGTTTTGTAGTCAGAAGCTAAAATGGACAAATTCCATGGTAGGAGTGGCGACTAGAAGATTAGTTTGTGCAATGTGAAACGCGAGAATTGGAGCTAGGTTAGAACGAGCCGAGGGTGCGCGGTCTTGAGCTGTGTCCACATTGGGATTAGACCAGACATCCGCGATAGTCGTAGCGGCACTGGGCAAAAAAAGGTACCGTGCGCCGATATGAGGATCTGTCGACTTGATGCTAGCAAGCTGACATGGGAGCATGGCAAAGTTGATGATAATGTCTGGGTTACCTATAAGATCATGGGAGAGAGTTTTTCGCTTGAGCGAGATAGCCGTTGGGGTTGCACAAAGCTGAGGCTGATTTCTAGTGCTTAGAAAAGTCGCCGTTGAGGAGAGCCAAGGGGAGCGATGGCAGCAATGATGACACCGTTTTTTCCTTGTTCTTGGAGACTTGGCCGGTAAAGTCCAAGACAGGCGCAGCAGACCTAGATGAGATTGCTTTTTAGCGACGGGAGTGCGTTCTAGGGGGGTTCGTAGAAGTCGTAGTGCATGGTTAGTATGGCGGTGCCTTGCAGGCAGGTGGTTACGTCGAGGGAAACGAGCATGGTGGATGTGGATGTGTCCAGACAGTGGCGACCTGTCGCGGGAGAGGATGGTAAAATGAGGAATAGTACTGTAGGTGGGTACCGCATACAGGGACGACGCAATACTTTATGTCACTGCATTGCGCAACGCGCGTTGAGCGACCCAGCAAACGGTAGTAAGCGGACCGAGATAGCCGGGTTGGGAACCCAGGCGTCATAGATGGAACAAGGTTGGAGAGGGAGAGAGTGTGTGTACGTGTGAGTATGTACTTGGTACATCGTACATAGATGGCATGTATCGAGACATGGGCATTATGCGGAAGGGCGGCGGCAGATGGACATGGTTGTTGAGGAATGCATGCAACTACTAAGTAATATCGATAGAGGCACCCGGCAGATGGAGATGCGAAAAGCTTGAACAAAACCAAGCCTTGATGATGTGCGAAAAATAGCACTGATGAAACAGCAACAAGGGACCAGAGGGGCGTTGATATTGGGGACGACGGGTGGAGGCAGATGGGAGAAACATGGTGAAACGGGGCGTGGGTCATTTCTGGAAAAGACGGGCGCAACTAGCGACAGGTGGGTGTGGGTAAGTATGGGAGGAATAAGTGGGAACGAGAAGAAGGGGTGTGGGTGTAAGTAGTATAGTAGTGAGTAGATGGCAAGGGAGTAGCATCGTATAGCGGGCAGTCAGTCAGTCAGTCAGTCAGTCAGTATAGGAGGGAGTGCACAATCACAATGGTATGGCGTGGACATGGCATGACATGTGCTTCTGGGGGAGGCGCGCGCGCCGACTGCACTGACGAACGATTTTTATTCAGCGTGCATGACTAAGGCATGATTGGGACGGGCGTCGGGGGCTGCAATGGGGGCGTGCCTGAGTGGGTGAATGCAAATGCCTGCGTGCTTGAGCCATTGCCATTCTCGTCGTGGCCGTGGTGGTGGCGTGGCTGTGCTGCCCGCCCGCCCTGCCTGCCTGCCTGACTCGCCCCTCTGCCGCCGCCCACTCCTCGTCCTTGTCCGTCTTCTCTCCTTCACCTTGACATCCATCCCCCCCCCTCCTCAACGCCACTGGATCCATCTGACAAAACCTACCCCTCTCACCATATCCGCCATGCCGTTAGCTAGGTCTCGCCGCATCAGACGACGGGCGCTTGGGGTCATGGCAGCGTGACAATAATACACACACACAAATCTCAGCACTACAACCCCTGCATCCCCAGTCGCCAGCAGCCAACGGCCTCCCATGGCCCTGGCGCGCGCCGCCTCGTCGCTTGCAGCCAAGTCAGGGGCAGCCCGTGCAGATCGGTCGTCGTGTGTCGTTTCGGGACCAACTGGGGCCATGCACCCAATCCACTCCATTCTCCGGCCTGACCAATCACCACCCACCGCTCCAGTCATGGCCCACGGATACGACGAATCCACACTCCCCTCGAGCGCCTGGCGTCCAAATGGGCCACCAACAGCTGGGTCCCTCACCCTTTTAAGCATAGACTAAAAACAAGACTGCCTCGATATATCATGCTGCCACACGCCCGCCCCTTGTCCACCCTCCACGCCGCATCTCTGATTCCTCGTTGTTCCCGACGTCGAGGTTTCTGACCAGCAACTTCCTTTTTCCCTTTGACCTGTTGGCTTCGCTTCCAATCGGTCGTTACGCTCATTAGCTTCATCCATTCTAATTCCTGCTCCCGTTTCTTCGCCTCCCCGGGAAACCAGTCCCTCGTTCTGGCCCTCGGCCCTTTTCGTCGTTTACGTACAAGCACTCAAAAAAGCACCCTCTTCTTCTTCTCACCATGGCCAACTTCAGCAAGCCCGCGGGCATGATGTCCATGGTCTTTGCCTTCTTGTCGCTTCTTCAGTTCACTGTTGCGCTCCAGCATGGCGCTCGCCACAACCATGCTTTCGCCGGCCACTCTTCCGAGGACCTTGTCAAGCGTCACCTCCAGGAGATCGAAGGAGAACTCCAGAAACGCCAGTCCAGGGGCCCCATTCCCATCAAGGGTGCCTGCAGCAACGGCTATGCTTCGAATGGAGACTGCAATGGCGGAAGCTCTGCTGCTCCCCGTCTCGAGATCCGCGACTTGGCTCGCGACGCCGAGGCCTGGAACCTGTACCTTCTCGGTATGGAGCGGTTCATGGCAAAGGACAAGCGTGACGTCCTCTCCTATTACCAGGTCTCCGGTGTCCACGGCCGTCCCTTTGTCACCTGGAACAACTTCCCCTCTCCTCTGTTGAACAATGCTGGTTTCTGCCCCCACGGCATGACCCTATTTGGTTCATGGCACAGGCCCTACCTTGCCGCTTACGAGGTACGTCTTCTTCACTGCTAGCCTAACTTGTCACAACTAACACTTTGCCCACAGCAAGCTTGGTACCAGTCTGTCCTTGAGGTGATTCAGGAGTTCCCTGGCAGCCAGCAGGGTCGTCTGCGTCAAATCGCCTCTACTCTGCGTATGCCCTTCTTTGACTACGCCCGCGATCCAGGCAACGCTCCTGCTGTCCCAACCCTTATCCGTGATCCAACCGTCACTGTCAACAAGCCCCAAGGTTCTGTCAGGATCGCCAACCCTCTCTACAGCTACAGCTTCGGCAACTCGCTTCCCTCTGAGATGGGCGGAGGCCCATGGAACAGCTTCCCCGCCACGCTTCGCCGCCCTGTCGCCAATCCTACTCGCAGCAACAACAACGAGTTGAATGCCCGTTTTGCCTCTGCCCGCCTCTCGATTCGTGACCGTATCTTTGCTCTCTTCTCCAGCAAGCCCAACTGGGGCGCCGCTAGCACCGCTGCTATTGGTGTCCGTACCGCCCTGAGCGGTGGCGGCGTCGACAGCATTGAGTCTGTCCACGATCTTATCCACAGCATTACTGGCGGTGAGAGCGGTGGCCACATGGCCTACCTCGATGTCGCTGCTTTCGACCCTCTCTTCTGGCTTCACCACTGCAACATTGATCGTCTTCTCGCCATGCTCCAGATCATCAGCCCCAACACCTACGTCGCCAACGGTAACGTTATGCGCCCCATGGCCCAGTGGAACCAGGGCGAGCCTAAGAACGCCTACACGCCTCTGAAGCCCTTCACCAAGGACGCTGCCGGCAACTACTACACCTCGCAAGACGTCTACGAGACCCGCACTCTTGGATACTTTTACCCCGACACCAGCTCCAACTCATACGACCAGGTTGTCCGTTCCATCAACTCGCTCTACGCTGCAAACGGCCGATCCATCACGAAGCGTGATGACGATGTCTCTGAGACTGGTCAGTATCTTGGCCGTCCCATCAAGGAAGGCGAGTACCACACCATCCTTTCCGTCACCGCCGACAAGTACGCGCTTGAGGGATCATATGTTGTTCACTGCTTCGTTGGCAAGCCTGGCAACAACTCGACTTCCAACTCGACTGCTCCTTACCCTGTCAAGGCCAATTCGACCCTCTCTGCTAGCACCCCTCTTGGCACTGTTGGTGTCTCTGTAGGTGGCGATGATGGCGAGGCTGCTTACGACCCATCCACCGACTACACACAAACCTCCAACTATGTCGGTTCATATGGTATTATCGGTGGTATGATGGTCGGTGGCTCCAACTCTTCTCAACCCGTCATGACCGAAGGCTCTGTTCCCTTGACCACCTGTCTTCAAGGCAAGCAAGCTGCCGGCGAGCTTAAGTCTCTCACGCCCGACCACATCGAGGCTTACCTCAAGGAGAACCTCTACTACAAGGTTGTCGGTGTCAACGGCGAACTCGACCCTGATACCCTCCCCAACTTCCACGTCAACGTCAAGTGCAACAAGGCCAAGCCCGCCGCCTCTGAGAACGAGCTTCCTGACTTGAGCGCCCCTTACACTGTCCTCCCTAAGGCCACCGAGCACCTCCCCGCTGGCAAGCCCTTCACCTACACTCCTACTCCTCTGGATATCCCAGTCATTAGTGAGCCAGGATACAACCAGCCCGCCGGACCTGAATACGATTCTCCTAATGCCCCTGGATACGGTTCCCCTAACGCGCCTGGCAACAAGCCTACCGGGCCTGGATACGGTTCCCCTAACACCCCTGGCAACAAGCCTACCGGACCTGGATCCAGCCATCCCAGCTACCCCAGCTACGGTGGTTCCCACCCAACTCTGCCATGGCAAGAGCCTGGCTACTGCTACAGCAAACAGACGATCGAGTATGTTGATGAAGCAGGCAACTTCCTGTACTCTCAGATGGTCTCTGGCTACTAAGAGTCGGATGAGGGTTTGATACGCTGAGGGGAAGGAATTGTATCAATACAGAATCAAGACGTTGGGCGTGCGTGTGAATGAAGGACGGTTCGCATTTCTTTTACTCTACATAATACCTTTTGAATGTGTATCGCCGCAACGAAAGATTAAACTTTGCTTTCTTTCATTTGTATAAATTATCATTGATATCCACAAGGCTGTTTGGTTTTGTTGTGGCATTGTTCATGGTGGTAGGACAACGCTATACCATTGCACGGCGTTATGTCGCAATTCAATCGCTTTTTTAACAATTGCAGCTGTTGTTCTTTTTAGAAGTGATGCCTGTCGTGAATAAATCTATTCCATCCATGTAGTCCATCCAGAGCTCTCTGCACCCAAGACGGCCCCTATTGGCTAGCCGCCTGGAGCGCTACTAGCGCAGTTCTGCCAGGCACTCGGCGCGAGCACCACATCACGGCAGTATCTCTCATCCTGCCCTTTGGTCATCTTTAGGGCCCCTCGTCAGGCACTGCAAGGTAGGTCCTACACCATCAACGTCATCGTGTGGGTGCGGACATCTTTCTCCCTCAACATGGCCCCGACGTGCCACTCACTCCGCTCATATAGCATCATACGATGCGACTGGCCCTGCCACCTCGATTGGACTTGATGCTCTCACCTCCTCCCACAATGCTAATTGCGCGCGACAGGGAGCTCCAACGGCCCTCACCCTCCACCCCGCTCGCCCGCCATGCCTGCGATGCTGGATGACCCCAGCGCACCAGTTGTATACCGCACCTCGGGCGACATACCATATCCTCCGCCAGGCAGCCCTCTGCCCGTAGGCATTGCGCCGTATCAAGTCATTCTGCGCGACCGTGTTACGACTGCGACAATCATACCTTTTTCTGCGCCCAACCAAGTGCCCCTCACACTACTCGCATACCTATGCGATCAGCTTGGCCGCGAGATTGAAAAAGGCGACACGTACCCCATGGTCGAACCACTACCCCTCGAAAGCTTTGGCCCCTACTGGTTCGGAGTCTTCGGTGCTATTATGCTTTTGGGCGAAATTCAGGACGGCCGTCAGCTCCACGAAATGGCCCGCAGAGGATGCGATTGGGAACGGGAGTGTCTCGGAAGCTTCTACATCAAGCCAAACTATCCGGGCCGGTCGAGCCATGTCTGCAACGGCGGTTTTCTTGTTACAGATGCGTCGCGAAATCGTGGTGTCGGTCGTCTGATGGGTGAGACGTACCTGGACTGGGCCCCGAAGTTGGTATGTTTTGCGCAATTGCGCCGTCTGGATGCTGCGCTAACAACCATAGGGCTACACCTATTCAGTCTTCAATCTTGTTTACGAGACCAACGTCGCCTCTTGTCGCATATGGGATGCCCTTGGCTTCAAGCGCATCGGTCGTGTAAAGGGGTGTGGTAATCTCAAGTCGTATCCTGGCGAGCTCGTCGACGCCATCATCTATGGACGAGACTTGGGTCAAGATGACGAATTTGTATCAGAAGAGCGGTTTGACAAGATACGTTTCTATCTCAAAAATGGGAAATACCCCAACGGCGCCGATCGCGCAGAGAAGAGCCGCCTCCGCAGCGCAGCGACCCACTACAAACTGACGCCGGCTAATGACGATGAACCGGAGAAATTGTGGCTCAAAGGCAAGGAGGTCATTGCCGATCCGAAGCAGCAGTATGAGATTGCCCAGGAAATACACCATAAGCAGCATGGCGGGATCAACAAGACGACTGCGGCCATTGCTGAACTCTATCATTGGGTCCGCATCAAGGAAACTGTCAGTCAGGTCATCAGGAACTGCCCCGAATGTAGCGAGATGAATAAAGGCTTATCAGCCATGCGACAAGGCCAGAATCAGGCACGCGCAGAAGCACGATCAGCGTCTGCTTTCAGTACTGCCCAAAAGACGATCACGCCTACACCGCCGACTATCTTTTCACCTTCTCAGCCTCCTCCACCTGGTCCTGACTCGTCTTCTACTCAGATACCACTTGCAAGCCCACAACACTCTGCTCATGTATATCAGCAATTTGCTCAACAGCAACAACAGCAACAACAACAACAACAACAGAATACGTTTGACATGCCAGTGGACCCTGCCTTGATGCAGGATGTCCAGCCCACGGGTAAACTAGCTGATCTTCCTCCCTCACCCTTTCTCGCTGCTCAGCCAAAGGGTGCGTCACGTGGGGGGATCGGCGAGGACTCGCGGATAAGAGGGGATGGGATGGGTTTGGATGACAGGGCAGCGATGGCGGGGGAGGAGATGCGGCGGCGGCGGTTGAATAGAGCGAATGGATATAAGTGAGTTATGGCGGTGGCGGTTGTTGGGAGCGAGGAATACTTCTTGTAGTACTTGTTTATACTAGATATCATAGCGTTCATGTGATGAACAATGGGAGGGGGGGACATGGACGGATAGGCGTATCTGTGAAAAAGGATCTCGTAAGACGAGGGAGGATTATAGTGCTATGCCCACATGCCTTTACTTTTCTTCCTTCTTTTCTTGTTGAATGTGCTATGTCTGTGAATTTTCGTATTACATACTGAACTGAACTTTCCCAAGTTCACAGTCAAAACGTCACAGGGTGGTCCCGTATATCCAAGTGTCTAGTAAAAAGTTTACTTTATTGATTTATTTATTCGATTGAATTCAAGCCATCTATCCCCATACCCCATGATCCTCTTCCTTCCTTCCTTTTCTCTTACCTTTTTTTCTTTCCTTTCATTTCTCCCCTATACAACCGTCAATGAACCAACTAAACCCATCCATCCATCCTTCCCCTCCCACATGACCACTAACCTCACCCTTCAAACAAGCCCCACTCCCTAATCGCAAAACTCTCTAGCACCTTTTCTTTGATCCCCTTGGCTTCCGTCATAAGCTGTGTTTCGCTGCTTGGTGAATTCGCAGGCGTGTATTCGCCTGGGTAGTGGGGGGAGTTTATTGTTATCATGATCTTTTTGACATTAGTCGACTTGAGGGGAGAGTGGAAAAGGGTGGGGGTGGGGGATGGCTTACGTCTGTTCCTTGCTCCTTGAGCCGCACAAGGATAAGCTGGATAAATGTGTATTCTGGTGTTTTGCGGGCTGGTGCCCCTGCGGCGGGGGGAGGGGGCGTTTGGATGAAGGTTAGAGTTAGGATTGGGGTTTGTGGTCTTTTTTTTTTTAAAAAAAAAACTCCCTGTTAGCCATTTTCCTTTCTTTCTTTCATTATTTTAACCCGCTTCTCTTGAATTTCCACACGGAAAATGGAGAAGGAGTTGGGGAAAAACAAGCAAGTAAATGGGAAAAACATACAAATTCTTCATCTCGCCATTGGCCTGCGCAACCATCGTCGTAGCATCACCCGTGCCATCTACCAAATCGGAAAAATGGTACTGCAGGGCTTCTTCGTCGGATGGCTTGTCGACGTACTCGAGGATTTCGAGGACGATGCTGGTGTAGCCTCCGTTGTGGAGGTAGACTTCTTGGTGTGAGGGAATTTGGCGGATTAGGCTTTGCGGAGGGTTTAGTTAGTTTGGGGTTACAGGGGAAGAACGAGGTAAGCTTACGAGGCGTCGGAGTAGTCGGAGGGTAGGTCGACGGTTATTGCGCCGCCGTAGAGGGGTGTGGGTTTGAAGTCCATTGCCGATGTTTGTGAGTGATTTTTTGATGAGTCTTCTCTTTCTGATTTTTTTGACAGGGCGGGAATTTTGCAGTATAATAGGGTGAACTGAAAGTTTGGTAGTTGGAAGTATTTGGCGACTGTAGTTGTAGATACAACGTTGGAAGGTCTAGCTTTTTATGTCCAAGGTTCGGTGTTGGTTGATGGTGGTGGGAGTACAAGGCTGCTTTAGGTAACTAATCAGGCAACTTTCAAGCACCACGCCGACACAGATGCCTACCTGCCTACAGTCGATGTGAGGTTTGCCTGGACGTGGTGTTCTTCACTCACAATGGCTTAACCATTGAGTTGCACACTTTTAGCTTAGGTATGGTGGAACGGAAATCGGGGAAAAATCAGACATGTGACTTCGTGTTCTATAGGAACAAAATTTAAGTTAAACTTTCACGTGCACTACCACTACGGCCGTCGCGATCACAAACACAAGTGCGAAACTTTGCGTGTTATTGAAACCTGGGGTATCGTGTAAACTCTTGACCCCTCTATATTCCATTTCCCAATTTTGAACGCCATGCAATGCATCCCATCTCCTTGGTGTCCAGACGTTTTAGCGCTGGTATACCGCCACCACCACCACCTATGTCCTCAACCTCGCACGTTTCCACGGCGAGCTGAATATAACTATGCTCAGGCTGGTGCGACCTGATCGACCTCCATGGGGGCTGCCGGTGCGGTTGTGCGGGTTCCGTTGTTGGTGGTGAGGCCAATGGCCGCCTCTGCTTCTTTTTGTGAATATGGCTCTTCGAGCAATTGCTTGACCCTTGGACTTGTCAGTGTCTAGATGGACATACTCAGCTACATGTCTCACCTCCGCTTATGCACCTTGCCCTTCTGGTGCGCACCGAGGTTGGCGTCGCTCTCAAAAAACTTTGCGCATTCCTTGCAGTAGTACTGGCCCAGGCCGGGCAGGTCCTCTATGGGCTTTTCATTCTTGAAGGCGGCGAGATGCTTTTCGTCGCGCAGGTCGGCGTGGATCTGGTCGAGGTCGCGGGTATGGCGGCGAGTCTTTTTCTTCGAGTCCTGTCCACGTATGGCTGGCATTGTGTGGTATACTGTGCTGTAGTGTACAAAGCAGTGCTTATCCGCGGCCGTCGGTTATCCGTGAGGGAATGGATGGCGGCCATGGGCCAAGTTGGTAGTGTGGGGACTGGTGCGGCGCGGGGCCCGTGCGGGAGTCTGCAGGCCAGAAAGTCCTGTGGCGCTATGCCGGATGCGGGGCAGGCAAATGCTACAGTTGCGCCAGACGCCAAATTTGCTGCGTGTGCAGGCCTGGGGTTGAGACTGTTGGCCCGGAAATGTCGCGCGCCAGCCTGCCTCTGTGCCGTCGTCCCAGGTGGTGTTATCACAAGACGCCAATCAGCGCCTCGAGAATTGGGCGCGGGGTCGCTTTGCCGGCGCCGGATATGACGTCTGAGTGAACGCTCAAAGCTCGCCCTCTCCCGCACTCCTTGTCGCTGCGCTGCAATTGTCGCCGTCGCCGCACACAAGCACCCAATAAATCACACGCCCCAGTGCCAGCCGCACCCAAGACTAGAGGCTCCAGGCTCCAGGCTCCATAATTCCCTCCTCATCCTCCACCATCCTTGCATGTGAAACGGCCCAGCGGGAAAGCAGCTGCCGTCCTGTTTTTGCTCTGGCGCCGAGGTATTCCGCACCCAGCTGGGGCTAAACGAGCCAATCACCGTGCTCGTGATCGCTATTAGTTATCGCCCAACTTGCGCCAGCTTTGTGGCCTTCTTTTCCTCTGCTCCCTCCATCACTCCTCCCTCCACACCCTCCTCTGCAATCTTCACCATGCAGAAGTTCTCGAGGCTCGGCCGCATGGGCCAGAGCCTTGCTTCGCGCAGGCAATTGGCCACCGTCAGCGATGCTGCCCTCTCCCGCAAGGTCGAGATGACCAACTGGGAAAAGGGCCACTACATCAACTACCAGAAGATGAGCGAGAACCTGGGCATTGTCCGCTCTCGTCTCAACCGCCCCCTCACCTTTGCCGAGAAGATTCTCTACTCGCACTTGGACGACCCTCACGGTCAAGAGATTGAGCGTGGTGTCAGCTACCTCAAGCTCCGTCCCGACCGTGTGGCCTGCCAGGATGCCACTGCCCAGATGGCCATCCTCCAGTTCATGTCGGCTGGAATGCCCTCCGTTGCTACCCCTACCACTGTCCACTGCGACCATCTCATCGAGGCTCAGGTCGGCGGCGAGAAGGATTTGGCCCGCGCCAACGAGATCAACAAGGAAGTCTACAACTTCTTGTCCACCTCTTGCGCAAAGTACAACATTGGTTTCTGGAAGCCCGGCTCTGGTATCATCCACCAGATTGTGCTCGAGAACTACGCTTTCCCTGGTGCTCTCCTCATCGGTACTGATTCGCACACTCCCAACGCTGGTGGTCTTGGTATGGCCGCCATTGGTGTTGGTGGTGCTGACGCTGTCGACGTCATGGCCGGCCTTCCCTGGGAACTCAAAGCTCCCAAGGTCATTGGTGTCAAGCTGACTGGTCAGCTGTCTGGCTGGACTGCTCCCAAGGGTACGTACTCGCAATTGTTTACTGCAAGTGGGGTAACACGCGCTAACGTCAACCACAGACATTATTCTCAAGGTCGCCGGTATTCTGACTGTCAAGGGTGGAACTGGCGCCATCGTCGAATACCACGGACCCGGTACCGAGAGCCTGTCCTGCACTGGCATGGCCACCATCTGTAACATGGGTGCCGAGATTGGTGCTACCACCTCGGTCTTCCCCTTCAACGACCGCATGTACGACTACCTCGCCGCTACCAAGCGTAGCCAAATTGGTGACTTTGCCCGCGACTACGCCAAGGAGCTCCGCGAGGATGAGGGTGCCGAATACGACCAACTCATCGAGATCAACCTTTCCGAACTCGAGCCTCACATCAACGGTCCCTTCACACCCGATCTAGCTACACCTATCAGCAAGTTCAAGGAGGCTGTTGAGGCCAACAAGTGGCCCGAAGAGCTCAAGGTCGGTCTCATTGGTTCTTGCACCAACTCTTCGTACGAAGATATGACCCGCGCTGCCTCCATTGCCGAGGACGCCATGTCCCACGGTCTCAAGGCTAAGTCTCTCTTCACTGTCACCCCTGGTTCCGAGCAGATTCGCGCCACCATTGAGCGCGATGGTCAGCTCAAGACCTTTGAGGAGTTTGGCGGTATGGTTCTCGCAAACGCTTGTGGTCCTTGCATTGGTCAGGTAAGTTACTCTCTTTTACTTCCATCATACAACATGTACTAACCGTTACACAGTGGGACCGTAAGGACGTCAAGAAGGGTATGTACTACACACATTTTATACTGCACATCTGCTAACTTGTCTTAGGCGAGGCCAACTCCATCATCTCTTCTTACAACCGTAACTTCACTGGCCGCAACGACGCGAACCCCGCCACCCACTCTTTCGTCACCTCCCCTGACCTCGTTGTCGCCATGACCATTGCTGGAACTTTGAAGTTTAACCCTCTTGTCGACACGCTAAAGGGAGCTGACGGCAAGGAGTTCAAGCTCAAGGAGCCCACCGGTTTGGGTCTTCCCACCAGCGGTTACGACCCTGGCCAAGACACCTACCAGGCTCCTCCCGAAGACCGTACTTCCGTCCAGGTTGCCGTGTCTCCCACCTCTGACCGTCTCCAGCTCCTTTCTCCCTTCTCTGCTTGGGACGGAAAGGATGCCAAGAACCTCCCTATTCTCATCAAGTGCCAGGGCAAGACCACCACTGACCACATCTCCATGGCTGGTCCCTGGTTGAAGTACCGTGGACACTTGGACAACATCTCCAACAACATGTTGATTGGTGCAATCAACGCTGAGAATGGTGAGGCCAACAAGGTCAAGAACGCCCTCACCGGCGAGTACGGCGCGGTCCCCGATGTTGCTCGTGACTACAAAAAGAACGGCATCCCATGGGTTGTCATTGGTGACTGGAACTACGGCGAGGGTTCTTCACGTGAGCACGCTGCGCTTGAGCCCAGGCACTTGGGTGGTGCCGCCATCATCACCCGTTCGTTCGCTCGTATCCACGAGACCAACTTGAAGAAGCAGGGTATGCTTCCTCTTACCTTCTCTGACCCTGCCGACTATGACAAGATCGGCCCCAACGACCGTGTTGACTTGGCCTCCACCGAGCTCGCCCCTGGCAAGCCCCTCACCATGACCGTCCACCCTGCCGATGGCAGCAAGCCTTTCGAGGTCAAGCTCTCTCACACCTTCAACGAGGGCCAGATTGAGTGGTTCAAGAACGGCAGCGCTCTTAACACCATGGCCAAGAACGCCCAGCAGTAAATGCTCGGATGGAAACCAGGACGACCACAAAATCACCACTGGGGATGTAAATACAGCAGGATGGAACAACCCGCGAAAGCCTAGCCAGCGGGGCAGAAGATTTCCGCCTCTGAGGAAGATGGATAACCATGAGAGGGTTGAACGACTGTACGAATGGCCGCATTGGGAGCTTTCGTTGTCGGGTTACTAGGCTCAATGAGGATAGGTTTACTTGTACTTGTGACGGTTAGCATGCAATGTATGAATGATTTTTTGTTGTTAAAACCGGTGTATGCAATTGTGATTTTGGCTGGCACTGCAAAATATCCAAGTATTTCGTTGGTTGGAGCAAAGTGCTGCAACCGGGAATGAACGTGGTCTGGTGAGTGTTATCGCCTTTGAACATCCATCTCAGCCCTTTCTGGGGTCTGACGGTTGCGGGCGTCCGTGTTCCCCGCTAGTCGCCGGGACAACGGGCAATGACAAACATTGTCGACAAGAGTTCCAACGGCCGACCACCCATGCGACAACAACATTCTTGAGCCAATTGTAAACACAGCGCTTTGGATATTTCTATCAATATTGGCCACCTGAATACCGCAGATATGGCACGCCTACGCAAACCCAGTCCAAATGAACCCACCATCTTTATGCCCCCAGCTGAGGCGAGCACGACACGAATGAGTCCCCGGAAGGCTACTTTGAGGTACGCCTCATTCGAGGAAGATGATAGCTCGATGCTCGTGCCAAAAGCATCGAAGCGCGCATTGCGCGATGCCAGCCTATCGCAAGATATCGAAAATTCGTTTCACACAACAAAATCAACCCTACCCAAAGACGTACTGTCCCCGCGCAAGCAACGAGTCCTGCGACCAGTCGAGAGCAACAGCCGCCTGCTTCGCAAGCTGAGTGACGAGAGCTTAGCGAGTCCGGAAAGGAAGCAAAGAGAGCGGAGAGAGCGCAGTGGCACAATGGATACAGACTTGGACAAGAGGAACCGACTACGGTATGCCACAAGCCTAGCGAGGAGCATGGTGAACAAGCAAGGACAGAAGAGTAGGATTGATGTTCTTGGAGAGGCAGAAGTCCAGCAAGCTGCTCGGTGGCCAGGGAGCAAGAGTCCCGTGAAGAAAGCAGAGGAGTTGGAAGCCGAAGAGGCAGAAGAAGAGGCCGAGACCAGCATTCTGTGCGGCGAAGAGGACGTTGAAATGCAAGAAGAGGTCGCTGAACCAGTTATCGAAATCAGCGACGATGATGAAGACGAAGAGCCCGTCATGACAGCTCAAACTAGACGGCGACAACCCCAGACCCGACGGGTAATCTCAGATAGTGAAGACGATGAAAGCGAGGCCAGTCCTCCACGACCAGTCAACGAGTTTCGTTCGCCAACTTTCAAGATTCCAGACCTGAAACCAGTTACCGTACCTACCCAACAACCAGCTGGTCTGGTCTCTATGCGGCCCCTACATCGCAAAGGACACAGGACAACATCGAATTGCGCGCAGGAGGTCATTGATATGACGGACTCGCCAGATTCCTTCATTCTTCAACAGCCCACGCACGCACGATCAAGTTCTTTCGCAGCGTCGTCCCGTCCCACAAGTTCCGCCTCGAATGGGGCCTTTGCAATTCTTACTTATTCACCAACACCTACCAAAAAGCGTTCGCCTTGCAAAGCTCCACCTATTGAACGTCCAGGAACACCACCCCTGGCGCCCGCGAGCCCTTCCAAACTTGTCTCTCCTTCGAAGAAGAAGTTCGCAATTCCCAAAGCTGCCGATCTAGACGGAAGACCTAGTCTCGATGCGTTTTGGAACCCTACAGCAGTCAATGAATGGAACGATCATCACTCACCAGCGAAGGCAATTGTTTCGCCCAGGAAGCAGCAATGGCGCGAAGACATTGTGAAGATGATGGAGGGGGTCGCGCTGGATGACAGCAGCGACGAAAGCTACGAGAGCCCCATCGAAAGTCCTAAGAAGAAGCCTGCCAAACGTAGCACAGCCAAGTCAAAGACGCCCAACGTCGAAGCACCGCCGACAGTGAAGCAAATCCGTGAACAGCGCAAGGCATTTTCCGAGATGAAGCATAGCATTGCGGAGGCGTTCTTGGAAGAGCTCGACACCACCATTGCTTCAGGTCGCATTCAAGAACTGTCGAAATCTACAGGCGGCATAAAACTAGTCTGGTCCAAGACTCTCAAGACAACAGCTGGCCGAGCGAATTGGCGTAGAGAGCAGATTCGCATCCGAACCGGTCCGCTATCAACAGACACTCGCACTGAGATCCGACACCACTGCTCGATCGAGCTTGCAGAGAAGGTCATTGACGACGAAGAACGTCTCTACAACGTACTAGCGCACGAATTTTGCCATTTGACCACGTTCATGATTAGCGAAGTGCGCAACAATCCTCATGGAGCGGAGTTTAAGTCGTGGGGCCGCAAGGCAACCGCCGCATTTGGGGCGAACAAGGGCGTAGAAGTCACGACCAAGCACTCATACCAGATTGAATACAAGTACGTCTGGGAGTGCATTGCGTGCGGCTACGAGTTCAAGCGCCACTCAAAGTCTGTAGACCCAGCACGTCACTCGTGCGGAAAGTGCAAGGGGAGGCTTGCGCAGACAAAACCCAAGCCTCGTGGTGCTAGCGCTGGTGCAGCAGCCGTGGGCCAAGACGGCAAGAGGGAGAAGAGCGAGTACCAGGTCTTCGTCAAGGCAAACTTTGCGAGGGTCAAAAAGGAGCTGGAGGCGGAGGGTAAGGATACGCAGATGGGCAAGGTCATGGAGGCTGTAGCAAAGGAGTATAGAGAGAAGAAAGGCACGAAAGCGAAAGAAGAGGTTGGTGAGCTAGAGGCTAAGCTTGATGAGTTGAAGATTTAGACAATGAGTTAACGAACCCTTCGATTCTTGATGTGGAATGATTATTAATGATAGTTTTGGTTGTTTTTGAAACTGCAAAAGCGTGCATTCTAATTGGGACGGAGGAATGTATATATGTTCTTTTTCGCACAAAAGGAAGTGCATCAAGGGTGCCATAGGAGAAATGCGAGGATTGTTTTTCCCTGAAATGGAAGGAGAGAATACTACCCAGAAATGGACAGTGCATGCGTCAAGGCGATGTGCCCAAGTGATTTTGAGGGTTTGCTGGCAATTGTAGAAGACGGACAAACTGACTGCCTTGCTCCATCGTCTTCAGCTGTTGGACCTTGGGGCTGAAGCGCTGATCAGGTGAGACAGACTGGGGTAGCCTAGCGCCTTCACTAATGAAACCTCATCCTTCATTCCTCAGCCTTGCCGAGACTCTCACTCTCATAGACACCCCTCCCTGCACCAACTACTATTACTTGTCCCCAGTGTTCATTCGCATTACTTGCTGCTTAGTGGCAAGGCTCTGTTGGGGTGTAATCCCTTGGGTTGATCATTGCCTAACTAACTGCTTTTGTGTCACGTGTGACGTTTACACATTCCTACCAAAGGGCGATCTCCCCGCTAACATTAACGCCTCCTGCGCATCACTAGCATACCCATGCGACTGCACCTATAAGATCCTCGTTTCTCTTCTCTTGATCCTGACAGCAAGGCTGCAGCGCAAGAACCACCACTATGGCCCACAACCATCAACAACGCCCATCTGGCCCGCCTCCTCCGGAACCATATGAAGGGCCTCCAGCTTTGCCACTAGAGTGCCCACCAGGTGACGACTACCCGATTGAGTTGTTCAGCCTTCTGGAATCTGAAGAGATGATGAGAAAACATGGCTTCGTTATGGAGCCGCTTACAATGGCGGACCTCAAAGGGAAAGCCAGGTGTAAAGACTGCAACCAGTGTATGTGCCAGAAGCCTCACTTATGTGCTACCAGAGGTATGCATTGACACTGCTAATCGAATAATAGCAATGTTCAATCTCACAAAGGATTTAAGAAGGCAACAAAAATTGCGTCGCGCCAACCCAATTCCACCCCCACCAAAGAGGTCCTGGGACCCATTCCCCACAATCCTGATGCCAAAGGGAAAAGGTAGATATGATTCAACAGAATGCGCAGTAAAGTGCAGCTCCCATCCAGGGACCATGGACCGGGCTACGAGGGTAAAAGCAACATTGGCAAAGAGATGAGTCTCGCCACTAACTGCATCCAGTGCTTTACTTGTTGTCATGTCCATGTAACTGAAGCCAAGCCATGCGTCAACAGCCACGTGCATGAATTACGCAACTATGCGCCTGGCGAACTCATCCGTATACACCAGTATCACTATACACCGGCAGTTCATACAAAAAGCCTGGAATTCCGCGCTGCCGTCGCTATTGACTGCGAAATGGGAACCGCCATCTCGGGAGATAGTGAACTCATTCGCCTGACCGCCATTGATTACCTGACTGGCGAAGTCCTCATCAACAACCTTGTTCAGCCCGACCAGCATATGTTGCACCTCAACACAAAGTTTTCTGGAGTCACGTTTCTGCAACTGAACGAAGCCAAGAGGAAAAAGACTTCCTTGAGAGGCAAGGCTGGCGCGAGAGAAGCACTATGGAGATTTGTCGGCCCGCATACTGCGCTGGTAGGTCATGGTCTGAATAATGATCTGAGAGCGCTGAAATGGATCCATCCAACTGTGATTGATTCGTACATGGTTGAACACAGGATTGTGCAAACAAAGAAAAAGGCCGACAAGGAGGCAGCGGAAGCAGCAGCCGCAGCAACCACGGAAACCTCAGCAGAGGATCTAGCTGAACAGATTCTGGATCTAGAGCTATCTCCACAAATAGAATCTCAACCAAAGCAGAAGAGAACCAAGGGAACCGGCGACTTGGCGCTCAAGACGTTGATGAAGAAGTATATCAACCGGGATATTCAGACGCAAGGCAACAAGGGGCATGATAGCTTTGAGGATGCGCTTGCGGCGAGGGATTTGGTGCACTGGATGGTTCTAAGAAGGCTTGCGGAGAAGGAGGCGTTGGCAGTGTAAGCGAAGCGGTGATTCTGATGAAATTGCGTAATGGTTTCTATGACTGGTTACATCGTGCGAGAGGGATTGGGTATTTGGGTGGTATCAGGGTCGACTAGTCCTACACACACACACAATTTCGGTACTTTGAAACAAAACTGTGTGCACATGATTACTTCCTCAACCCACGATGTCTTTCAAGCGAAGGGAAAAGCAAACTCCAAACACTCACATGGGATTGAACTAGCAATCACATTGGCTCAAATTTAAAATAGTATAGTCATCCACTAATCAAAAAGGAAAGGAAAAACACTCATACACCCTCCCATCGCCTCCTCACCTCCACCTCCTCCAACAACCCCCGATAATCCTCGGGCCCATATCCCTCCACCCACTCCCTCACGCCCCCTCCCTTCCTCCTCGCCCCCAGCCCCAAATCCTTGAGCAAAATATCAAAATAAGGCAAAGTATCAAACACAAGATCCGGCAAAATATACCCATAACTCATCGCTCCCCGATGCACCCCATACTGACTATTCTGATATACCTCCTTCAGCACGCGGTCTTGCTCGGCTGGTGAAGACGGGGGTGAAAGTGTGCCGTCGAGGAAGGAAGTTATCCAGAGTGATTGGATGTAGGCGCAAGGAAAGGTGCCGAGGCAGTGGACGGCGCCTGCGAAGGCGATGGTAGGGTGGGCGAGGGACCGGGGTGGTGCGATGAAGCGGTGCAGACGGTACGGTTGCGTTGTTGCACTACGGGGTTGCTGTGTACCGCGCAGCAACGGGTCTGGATGACCTGTGCGAGTTACGTTTCTTTGGGATAGGTAAGGGAAATCGCGGAAGAGACCAGTCTCGGATGCGGTGATGAGAGTTTGGTCTTCGGGGGTGGGAGGGCATGGCAGGCCGAGGTCATGTTCGAGAGATGCGGGTTCGAAGCGGAATGTGTGGGCTTTTTGCCAGCCTGTAGCGCAGACGATTGCGTCGGCAATGAGGGTAGTGCCGGATTTGAGGTGCACGGTGTGAGTGTCCTTGAGAGCGGATATGTCATCGAATACAATACTGATTTGTCCGTTGCGAACGAGGTCGAAGAAGTTGGTGGGGTAGTTATGAATGGATAAGGCATTTCCGACTTCAAAGGCGCTTCTCCAGGGCCGCAGCTTCTTCGTCTCGGGATGGGCGTCGAGTTTATTCAGCGAAACTGCATCTTCACTAAGTACATACCAGAACCCCGCTACAATCTTCCTGCCCAGCCACGTCTTGTGCAAAAAGTAGCGCAGCCAGCCTTCCGCTCCTGTCGTCGTTGCCCACGGGCAAGGCGACATGAAGCCGAAGAACCGCGTGTGCACCAGTTTCTCCAACCACATTCCAAACGGCGTCACGTGGCTGGGTGCCATCCACACGGGGCCATTCCCATCTGGTCGGATCAAGAGCGTCGCTGAGGAAGAAGGCTGCGTCGCACACGCGTAGGCTACATCCCAAGCTGATTTCCCGGATCCGACGACTACAGTGTGCGTCTGCGGTCTGGCAATTTCCGCATAGTGAGCTGAGAAATCCCGAGTGTGCACGACGGGCGAGGAGAAAGTAGGCGATGTGGGGTATGTTGGGAGCAAAGGCTTGCTCGTATTTCCCGTTGCTACAATGACCTTTTGAGCTCGTATCACCATCTCTTGTTTCTCGGCTGAGGATGACGACAGCACACAATGCAATATCCAACTCTTTTCTTCATCGCCCTGCCCTTGCTCAAGCACCTCGACGATCGTGTTCAGACGGATAAATTGCTTGATATCCGCCCACTCTGCAAACGCACAGAGGTACTCGTACATTTTGGATGCATCAACATGTGCCCCTTGCTTTACGCCGAAGCGCTTTTGATCCATGGGAAAATCAGGATGCTCGTACATGCCCCATAGATTGTTAGTTTTGAGACCTGGGAAGACACGCTCGGGGGCCCAGGGCCCGCCGATGGAGGGCGCAGAGTCGAGAATGAGGAGCTTGGCGGAGGGATGCAAGCGATGGTAGGTATGCGCGGCTGTGAGGCCGTTAATGCTTGCGCCTATGACTACCACGTCTGCTTCTTCCATTGTTGTGTTGTGGGATAGTGAAGACGAAGATATGTCAGACTTGAGTAGGCTGGAGCTGTCTATGATAATTCCCATGTGAGCTCGGAAGAATTTAACCAATGGGTAAGACTGATAATGGGGCCATATTAATAGATCTGCCTTGTCCTGACTCTAAGCACACGTGCCTGCATGATATGAGTGGGCAGGGTAGGTTGGTGGCCTAATGTAAGATAGTAAGCGAAATGGATAGCTCAGTGGACGTGACACTTCTTCTAGAGTAATTAACATAACGCGAGTTTTGCATATACATCCAAACCTCTGAGACTGCCCCCAGAATTATGCGACCTGTGATAAAATGACATGTAATTTTCATCAATTGCGCTTTTCCCATTCGGTTTCGTGTAAGTAAATAAATCATTAGAGCCCGCGGGGAAAACCGATCCCTCATTATTGGTAAAAGAACACCACATTAACCACCTGAATACATCACAACTTTGCTTTTACAGAACCAACGCCAGCCCGGACTTGTACGGTGCCTGCTGCATTGGTGTCGATAGTGACCACGACGCCTTCTGTAGCGGTCTCACCTGGCTTCAGTAATATCTCTTGGCAGTCCTCATTACCTACATCGTTGGCGAACTGTACAACTACAAAGTCGATTGGCCGGTCTCCAATGACTACCATAGGTGCGTGCCATGTCCCGGCGCCATAAGTCACAGCTTGAGCTCCATTCGCAACAAAAGCGCGGACATTCTTGAGATCTGGAAGGCCGGGCCCTTTGGGTCGTGCAGACGGATGCAGATGTGAAGAGTGACTTTGTGCGGACGTCCCCTCGTTCAAGAGACTGAGTCTTGCTCGCCCGAATATGTCGAACACACTCCCATTTCCCTTCATAACTGGCGCAGGATATGGCGGGGCCCTGTCTGTCCGATACTTCGACGCGCTCGCAGGGAGAGTTGGTGCGACTATGACAAGATATTGTGTATGCCTGTCGTGTTGCGCCAAACCCATAGGTATGAACGTTTGCGTGGTAAAAGGGTGTCGCTCGAGGATAGAGACGTCCAATAGCTGCTTGAGGCAGTCGTCATTTCCGTCCTCGTCCTCATCCAGGTCCAAGTCGCCCCAGGAGCTCGGCATGCTCATGCTCGGCTCATGCGGGCGCAGGTTGCGTGGTGAGCAAACAAACATGTTCATGACGGCTCGAGCCGGCTTTTTGCTGGGCGCAAGGGTATACAGATTTGACATGTGGGTGACATCGAGGTACTTTGTTGCAGAGCCCTGATTGGCGGACACTGCTTCGGGCGCCTGTACGCGGTTTGGAATGGGTAGCTTTGCTGACGGCGATGTTGAGGGATTCTCGATGACAGTACCAAACTGCGCAAAGGCTGTAGGAGTGAGCAGCTCTATCGGTATGCGAATGGACGGGGCAGGCATTGAGGGAGGCATCCTGACGGCGGGGCGCTCAAAGAGCGGCAGACAGCAGCTGCGATGGGTCGGTGGAGTTGGAATGGAGATCGCGTGCGGGAGCTTGTCAAAGGGCGCTACTGATGCGATAGCGATAAGACCAAGTCAGGCCAGGTACCTTGGAGCGTCTGCATGTGATAATTGACGGTGCAGACGCCACGCTCACATGTTGCTTTTTGCTGTGGGCGTGAATCCGAGTGTCTGGTGATTTGCTGCTCGATCAATGTGGGCATTCGTCAAGCAAGTTGATTCCATGCAGGAGCAGTCTGCTAGTATAGCATTCTGACCAGCCAGCTGTGAAGCTGGTCGCAGATCACGGCACCTCGCTTCGTTCGCTGCAGATACGACGAGATGCAGGTCAAGGGCAAAATATACTTAGTCTTTTGTTCTCGAATATATGTTACTAACGGAGCGCAGATAGACTCGCATCCATCAGTACCCTCAGCTTCAGGAGTCGCAAGGCATAGCGAGGCTGATGTCACATAGCCAGGCAGGACTACCAACGGCCCGCATTTTCCCCGAGCACTAGCGCGCATGCCCACGGATTTCTTTCTCGACAGCCGTCCGTCTCTCCAGCTACGCTCGTCACACGGTCACCCTTCAATTCTCTGGCGCGTGTTCCCTTTCCCCTTCTTGATCCACCCGTTGCTGCTGCGTGCGCCCAAAGTCTGCCCTTGGCCCCCAAGAGCCTCAGAAATTACGTCACCTTCTCAACCCTCATACCCACACCCGACGTGTTCCTGTCTTAGTCTTACCAACATCGCCAACACACCACACTCAGCTCAAGCCCTTGAGCCAGACTTCGCGACCACCAGCACCTTGCCCAACGCCTGCTTTTGGACGACTTCCTGTGACTTTGACTAGTTATCATGGCTGTTCCCACACAGTTGGCTTGTATGTAACCCCGATGAACAAAAGAAACACATGGAGACTTCGTCTGTTGAAACATGCTAACACTTCTGGCTTACAGACCGTTCCGCCAAGGGCATCGGGCTCTTCAATGCTGCTCCAGTCTACGAGCCGCTTCCAGGATTCGTGCGCCCAGAAGGCAACCTTCGTTGCTGCACCTACTCGCCAGACAGCAAGTACTTCGCATGGGCTACACCTGACCAGTAAGCGCTACAAGACATCACATGCATCGCAGATGAGCACACTAGACTTGGGGATTGAAGATGACATGATGGTAAAGCCATTGAGGAGTCCCTCGAGACACCGACAATCCGTCATCCTTCAACGCCACATCTGTGCGCTTGTGTGCGGCTGTCTGAATTGCACAGATGAGCTAACTTTCCCAGGGTCTCCGTGATTGACGCTTCCGTCGGCCATATTGTTACCACACTCCCCACACCGAACGTTTACGAGCTCGGCTTTTCTCCATTGGGCACCTACCTTATAACATGGCAGCGGCCTTCCAAGGATGAGGATGGAAATGCGACAAAGAACCTCCGGGTCTGGAAAACGCTCTCCGACGAAACCGAAGATGACGGATCGCGAGCAGTGATTGGCGAATACGTTCAGAAGAACCAGAACGGCTGGAACCTGCAATACACATCCGACGAGAAGTTCTGTGCCCGCGTTGTGACAAACGAGGTGCAGTTCTTCCAGTCGAGTGATCTGCGCAACCCCTGGAACAAGCTCCGTGTAGAGGGAGTAACGGAAATGGCCCTGTCGCCCGGCAAGAACCATTCAGTTGCAGTTTTTGTGCCGGAGCGCAAGGGTATGCCCGCTGCCGTCAAGGTGTTTGCGGTACCTCAATTCAGCCAGCCCGTATCGCAAAAGACCTTCTTCAAGGGTGACAAGGTCCAGCTCAAGTGGAACGACCTCGGTACCAGCCTGATTGTCCTAGCCCAGACTGAGGTTGATAAGACCAACAAGAGCTACTACGGAGAGACGAACATGTATATCCTTAGCGCCAACGGCACGTTCGATTCGCGTATCCAGTTGGATAAAGAGGGACCTATTCACGATGTCTCGTGGTCGCCCAACTCGAAAGAGTTTGGTGTTACCTACGGCTACATGCCTGCAAAGACGACCATCTTCAACCAACGGGCAGTCCCGCAGCACAGCTTTGATTTGGGCCCACGCAACACTATTCTTTTCAGCCCCCACGGTCGTTTTGTCATTGTCGCTGGTTTCGGTAATCTTGCTGGAGACATGGATATTTATGATTTGGAGAAGAATTTCGCCAAAGTGTGCCACGTCAAGACATCCAACTGCACATACTGCGAGTGGAGTCCGGACGGCCAGCATATCCTTACTGCAACGACTAGCCCGCGTCTGCGAGTTGACAATGGCATTCGTATTTACCATGTCAGCGGCGGCCTCATGTACAATGAGGACATGACGGAACTGTACCATGTTGTTTGGCGACCTCAGCCGACATCAATGTACCCGCTGGCGGACCCCCTGACTGCTGTCCCGACACCGCACTCGTCAGCGCTGGCGTACCTCAGCACCCAAAAGACACCTTCGAAGCCCGCCGGTGCCTACCGTCCTCCTGGCGCGCGGGGAACAGCCACTCCATTGCACTTTAAGCGTGAGGACGAGGGAGGCGCAGCCTTCCACAATACTGGCGTTTCATCGACAAACGTTGGATTTGCTAATGGATTCGGCAAGCCGCGTCGTCGTGAGGTGCCTGGTGCAGACACTGCTGAGTCTCTTCCTCCCGGTGCTGCCCCCGGTGGTGGTGTCAGTCTTACCGGTGCTCAGGATGGCGACGGGGAGCTTTCCAAGGCTGCTTTGAAGAACAAGAAGAAGCGCGAAGCTAAAAAGGCGCGTGAAGCTGCTGACAAGGCTGCTGGTCTGGGTGTCGACGGTGCCAATGGTTCTAATGGAGCCAATGACGGTCGTAGCCCAGAGCGTCGCCAACGCAGCCGCAGCAAGAGCGGATATGAGCAACACGGAAGGAGCGCTAGCCAAGCCCGCAATTATGGCAACAGCCCCAACCGTCAGGCCAGACAAGAGGGCAACCGTCGACAGAACCCTGGTCAGCAGGGCGCTGCCCAGGCTCCTCCAATCAAGACTGAAGGCCATGCTCCTCCGCCCGACCTTACTGTCACTAGCCCCGGAGACGGCGGCCCTCAGGACAAGAAGATTCGCGGCTTGCTGAAGAAGATGCGTGCCATTGAAGAGCTGAAGATGAGGCAAGCAGGCGGAGAGAAGCTCGAGGACACTCAGATCAAGAAGATTAGTACCGAGGTTCAGATCAAGAAGGAGCTGGATGCTCTTGGCTATTCTGGTTAGAGGGGGGGTGGAGTACAACATTTGGGGGAAGAGCAGCGCAAGGGGGAGAGGTGGTTGACCAGAGGGATCATGTGGAGGCTAGCAGGCATGACGTGCGATGATAGAAAATGACGAAAGTGTGCTGTTTTGAATTTGTGTTTCCTAAGATTAAGGATATGAGGGCAGAGTGATGTGGTGCTCATGACACTTGTTGTGAGGCAAAAAGTACGCAAGTCTTTTAGAAGTGGATTTGATTCATGCTATCATTATAATTTCGTAGTCATTCATGCATTTGAGATTCCGGGTAGATGCAGACCGACCTTCAGTCATGCCGTCGAGTGACAGACATCTAGTGCGAGGTATGTCCACCCTGGGCTCCCAACTCGGAAGCAAGCTCGCTGCCCTTCCTGAAGGTTCCATCGGGGTTGCGCTACGAGATAGTTAGTCAAGAAGCCCTACAGCGGTTCTCTGCCAACTTACACCAGAGTCCTTGTGAGCGTGCGAACCAGAGTCGTCGGAGCCATGAGAGGCATGGCCGCCCTGTGCACCCAAATCCTTGGCGACCTCGGAGCCCTTTGTGAAGGTGCCGTCGGGGTTGCGGCCAGGGTGGTCGTTGCTGGAGGACTGGAAGAGCAGTTAGTGAGTAGAACTTGATAGACAGGGATTCACACAAGTGGCGTACGTCGGTGTGGCCAGAGCCGTGAGAGGCGTGACCACCTTTGGCAGCAATCTCCCTAAGCTCGTCCTTGGGCAGGTTGGCGAAGTTTGCGGGGTTGGAAGAGGCCATTGTGAAAGGTGTTGTGAAGTTGGAGTTGACGCTCGAGTTTGAACTGACGGGTGGGAATGGTGTGAGAAGGGAGAGAGCTGGATGAGAGACAGTGGTGATATATAGATACTGGCGCTTGTTTGTTCCTGCTGCTTTTGACGCTTCAAACACCCTTCTGATTGTTTTCCCCACATAGCATCACGTCACAATTGCGGGTAGCAGGTTTGCAGGTGCCAGGTGAGAGGGCCCGAAGCGGCGGCCCTCGCCACCATTGGCTATTATAGCGCTGCATAGCATATACTCGCTCAGAAACAGGCTCCATTTGCTTGCAGCTGTAGATTGATGACAGCCTGGCGTAGACTGACGCCTGTCCTATCCTTCTTGTGGTGAGCTGAGGTGTGATGTCATTGCTCTCTGCACGGCGACGCGTCTCGCGCACTCACGTGCCGACGTGTCTCGCAACGGCCAATCAGAGCCGCAGTCGAGTCTTCGACGTCACCCAGGGTTACGCGATTGCCTATCTGCGGCTGGGGAGTGGATTGATTGGGATGCTTACATGCCCAATCTACACCCCCTTTACTTTCGTGATACATTACACATAGCCCAAATCAAGTCATACAGCAGCAATGAGTCTAAAACGCAAAGCCGCCGCTGCAGCTACCGACGCGTCTAAGAAGACCAAGCAGAACGGCAGCATTACTGCCTTCTTCGGCCCACCCAAGACGGACCCCAATGCACCCCCCAAGCAGACGGCTGCAGCTGCAAAGTTTGACAAAGATGCCTGGGTTGCCAAACTCACCGATGAGCAGAAGGACCTTCTGCAGCTCGAGCTCGAAACCATGCACGAGAGCTGGCTGCCGCATCTCAAGGATGTACTTGTGACGCCCCAGTTTCTGCAACTGAAGCGTTTCCTTAAGCAGGAGCTGGCCAGCGGCAAGACGGTGTATCCGCCAATGAAAGATGTTTACTCATGGTGCGTCTACTAATACTTCGATGCCCCAAGTTTTCAAGTTCCACATACTGACAGGCAAGCATAGGTCGCGACACACACCGCTCAACACGGTCAAGGTAGTCATCACAGGCCAGGACCCTTATCACGGCCCTAACCAAGCTCACGGCCTCTGTTTCTCCATTCGTCCACCCAACCCCGCCCCTCCCTCGCTCCAGAACATCTACAAAGCCCTCAAGAAGGAATATCCAGACTACCAGCCACCGCCAAACAAGGGTGGACTGCTGATTCCCTGGGCTGAGCGCGGCGTGTTACTCATCAACACCTGCTTGACTGTTCGCAGAGGCGAAGCAAACTCACATTCTGGCAAAGGCTGGGAACTGCTCATGCAAAAGGTGATTGATACCGTGGCAAAAGTGCGAACCAACGGTGTCGTCTTCTTGGCCTGGGGAACCCCGGCCCAACAGAGGGCAAAGGGTATTCCAGTAGACAAGCATCTTGTTCTCAAGAGTGTGCATCCCAGCCCGCTGAGTGCAGCGAGGGGATTCGTAAGTTTTGTACCTAGTAATACATTGAGATGATTGTGCTAATGACAAGTAGTTTGACTGTGGGCATTTCACCAAATGTAATGAATGGCTTGTACAGAGATATGGAAAAGATGGGGGCATTGATTGGGATCTCAATGTTGATAAGCAAAAGGAAAAGGAAAAGGAAAAGGAAAAAGAGAAAGAGGAAGAGAAGGAAGAAGAAAAATAATAGAGTCGGATATCTGACTTACAATTCAGATAGGAACTCCAAAACACTGTGTCCTTGGATATACGGGTTTTTCTTCGGTAGCGCACAGTCTGGCGTTGGGACGAAATGTTTCTTGAAAGCGTATGTATGCGTCTTTTGAATCTGGGTGTAAAATTCGACCGGTATGGTCCTATGAAAGCAAACAATAAATCCTCATTGCATGCTTCCCTCAATGCCCTTACTTCTTCAAATCCCCTTCCCGCCTCGCAACCCAAAACAGCCCCCTCTCCACCATCCCACTAAACCACTCATCCTCGTACGCCTCATCAAAATGCCCCAACGCCGTAAAAAACACCCTCCCCCCTTTAAACTCCTGACACCACACCAACGGATGATCCTCCCCGTGCATCCCTCCACCAAACGTCTTCGTATCCCCCCTCAGCAAAACCTCCAACCCCCCATTCTCCCTCGGATGCTCGTGGAAATTATACCACTCGTCCTTCCACCTTTGCCTGCCCCCACACCCACTCAGTACAAAATGCTTGTCCGCCTTGTCGGAATCCACGACTAGCGACCCGATTTCTGGATCTGGATGCGAATGAAACTTCGCTCCGATAAGCTTCTCCCACCACGCATCCTCTGGCATCCCCGCCGCTGCACCGTGGATAGCTACCACGCCGCCACCGCGCTGCACCCAGTCTCTGAATGCGGAGAGTTGATCGGCGGAAAGCAGGGCTGGACCGAGGGTTTGCAGTAGGACGATGGCGCGGTAGTGGGAGAGGGTTTCGGGAGTGAAGAAGCTGGAGTCTTCGGTTGTGGTTAGGGAGATGTGTGGGTGGTGGGTTGTGAGGCGCTGGAAGAGGGTGATGCCAGAGGGGATGGAGGTGTGGCGGTAGGAGGTTGTTTTTGTGAAGATGAGCATGGGGAGGGGGGGCGGGGTTGAGGTGGTCATTTTGAGTGAGGTGGTAGAGGGAAGAGCATATTGGGGAGGGAGTATTTGGGGGATCTTAAGATGGATCAAGAGTATTTTAGGCTGAACGGCTTTTGAGGAGGTTTATGGTTGACGTCATTCATACCGGTGGGAGTTTGTGTAGTGATTCTGGGGGGAATACTAGGTGTTGAGTTGTTCGAACATCTTGTAGTTGTAAGCCAAAGCTGCATTGATGCTATACGCTTTTAGTGGGGTTGTAAGTTTACGATTTGAAATTAGACTTGGGGAAATGGTCGATCTAGATCAGAAGGGTAGGGGATTTAGGATATTCAGCATGCTTTATATCAATTGGTGTGTGCAGTTGGGGTCCAATTCAGAAGAATGATGTGTTAATGAATACCTCGACCATTTCTGAGATTCCATGACTTGACTTGAATTTTCTATCTCTGTTTACTATATAGCGTATCAAATCAATCATCTTAGAAAAGAATGGCAGGTCACACCCCAACCTGCCGGAATTGGGTATCAAAAAAATCGACTTTGCAGTCAAACTAAAAAGGTTCGGGTGAGCATTTACGTCAGCGAGACCCTGCTAAGATCCCATGTGCGTAACAAACACAGATGTATTTTGAATGGAAATCGAGAAATTTTCGATCGAGAGACAAGGGGATATAGTGGTAAAGTGGTTCTTCTCTACCTCAGACTAGATGAAGAGGAGAGCACATGATACAAAGTAGCCTCAAGTCCAAGTGAGACCAACAGCTTATAGAAATATCGCCAAAAATGGTTCATTTATCATATCGTTGAAAACCCTACGCACACAACCGCTGATTGCTGAGCTCAGCCACACCATCAACGCGGCGGGGCAGCCAGAGGGGTGGAGATTTACGCTAGTGCTAGACTCCATCAGATCGATAGCGTCATTACTCCGCGTGGGGTCATTACTCTCTGCGGGGAATGGCTCTCCTCATAGCAACTATACGGCATTGCAAAATCCAAAAGCCATCACAAAATGACTTCGCGACTCCTTCAAGTTCCACGAGAGATTCGAGACCTCATTTATGAATATGTACTTGTGCGCGATATCATACTCATCGAACGAGCCGCGGCAACTGTTCCTGAAACCACGGCAAAGCAAAGCCCCGAATTCTATAGACAACTTAGTCAATCGTATCCCTTGACACACGTACGTTCACATCGCCGCGTTTGGGCAATACCACGATTCGATATTGGTCTACCATCGTTCAAAGATGATCCAGAACTTCCCCCAAGCCATGTTCAGATGACATATCAGATCACACGCCAATCCAATCTACCGTTCGGAGAACGAATCGGCATCCATATGTTGCAAACCTGTCGCCAGATTTATCACGAAGCCAGAGAAATCTTCTACACCAAAAATGTATTCGGGTTCAAGACAGTAGAGTGCATCCCAACTGCATTCGCGTTCCTGTGCGATCGGCCCGCAGAGTCGCTCAAGCTCATCTCGTCCATGGAAATCACGTTGGGAGAAGGGACGAATTTGAGAGGCACGAGTGAAGCCCATTATCCAGTACTCGCCAGATTCACAGACTCAGTAGTACTGCGGTACGCCTACAATGACTTTACTAACCTCTGTACCCTGCTCTCATCTTCGCGCATGCAGTTGCGGAAGCTCGCCCTTCTCATCGACAGCTCAAATCAATTCTATAGACCCGTGTTCCCTTCACCTACAGATTGGATCAAATGGGAGGCGCAAAGGATGCCTGGTCCGCGCCCATGGGTGGCTCCCTGGGTCGAACCACTGTTCAAAGCGGGGAACCTTGAGGTCTTAGACATCCATTGGAATTTTGATCGGCCCGAGGTTTGTAGAATCGCAGATACCCTGTCTCGCCTGAGGCAGCAAATGCTTGCGCCAAGAGGCCCTCGACAACACGGTCGGCATAACAGTTTCTGCGAGCCCAGGTTTGACTTCACGGTCAACTATCAGGTCATCACGCAGGAAAGAACATCCATCTATTGCGAACTGTCCCGAAAAGACCTACTTCATAGCGATAACAGCGGCGAAAACGACGACGGCGAACACAGTGGAAAGCTGCAATCAAGCGAAGAAAAGCTGACCACAGCATGGCGGCAACATATGCAACGGATTCTTGAGGCTTCCGGCTGTCTATAGGGCTGTTATCATTGGGCATTGTACTACTATGTACATACTGCGGTTACCGGCACAAGTTTCGTCCGTGGAGACGCCAAGAGTAATGATCACGCTCTTCTTCAGATAGTTTTATCCCTCATTAATTGGAGAGAAATAATATGTACACAATAGGCTCTTCACGGAAGCTAGAATATATGCAGTATAACCTTTACTTACTCCCTATATCGGGCACTGCCATACTGCAGGTTAGCACATATGACGGAACATTTATGAATCATAACTTAGGTGTATTATAGCTATCTTGTAACTTAGAACATATGAGTCTAAATTTATTTGTATTTTACTACTTAAAGAAGAGAGTAAGAATGGCTGTTAAATATTATAGTACAGAAGAGATGTTTTTAGAATATAAAACTAATGAATCTAGTATTTATTATGTACTTCGACAGGGACCTCTGTATGTTCCGTCGTAAGTGACAGCCCGCAGTACATACCCTTACTATCGGTCCCACAGACAAGATCTTGGCTTGCCACCACAGTATGAGAACGAGAAACGGATAATTACTTTGATAACAGGACTGGATACACACAAGGATAATGCAAAGACGCGTGCCACTGTTTCTCTCCAATCCCCGGTGATTGGTGTGAGGCTAGGCCATCACTACTATCTGTAGGAAGTTCCCAAACAGGGCAAAAAAAAAATCTCAAGACCGTTTCATGTGATGTAGTAGGATGAGCAAGGGTGGACGGTAAGTCTGTTGCCGCGTTACCATCTCAGCTTAGTGCACCCGTATCCCCACGTGTACCTACTGCTGACTCGGCCGAGGCGACATGCCCCCGCACAGCAGTTACCGCCCTTCATATAAACTAAGCTGAATACACAAGTTGCGCTGAATCACGCTATGTCTATATAAGACCTGGGGGGAGGGGGCTCGCCTACTCTGTTCCATACACTCTGCAGCCTACCAAATCCATAACTGGATGACTGGGATCCGGTGAGGACTTTCTCGTCACTCTTCTTATTGCCTAAGACGTGGCTAGGTTTCCATTGTCTTACCCACCATCTCACTTTCTCTCCATCATGGTGACCATGTCATCTACTTTTAGCGCTCTTAGCGACTTTCTGCAGAGCAAACTAGTCATTGTTTACCTCGCACTGGCCACACACTATGTTCTTCATATCTTCGACTTGACCATACTACCCTACTTGGTCTTACGCTGGTGGGCTCTAGCCTTTGGGGGTTTTGCAGCTATCATATACACGACTGGTCAGCATGCCGGGAGCATAGCGGCCACAATGCAGATCACAGCCACGGTAGCATCAGTATACTTTGGCGTTCTGTCTGCTAGCATCTTGCTACATCGTGGATTCTTCCATCGTCTTCGAAAAGTATGTCAGCACGCAAGAATTACATGTTTCATTTTCTGTTTCAACGTTGTCTTTCCACTCTGGTTTTCTGTCTTGGCACTAATAGGCCCCAGTTCCCAGGTCCTCTTGGAGCACGGTTCTCCAAGGCATATGCAGTCTATTCCGGCGTCCTCCATACTGGATCCCGATATTTTGAGTGGCAGGAGCAAGTTCACCAAAAGTATGGGTCAGACGTGATTCGAACTGGTCCAAGAGAGGTCACGATTTATTCCGCTGATGCCATTCCACTAATTCATGGCCCGATGTCCAAATGCGTTAAGCCTGACTCCTTCTATGGAATCAGTAGGGATGTCGCTGGTGATTCGCTGCAGACAACACCAGACAAGAAGGAACACCGTCAGCGGCGCAAGATCTGGGATCACGCCTTCAACGCAAAGGCTTTGCGCGATTACGAGCCTCGCCTCAATCGACATGCTATTTCTCTTATGTCAAGACTGAAAGAGCAATCGTCAAAAGGCCCAATAAGGATCACCAATTGGATCAACTTTTATAGCTTCGATGTCATGGGGGACGTGGGATTCAATCGCAGCTTTGGTATGCTTGACAAGGGCAAAGAAGATGATGTTATCAAGTTACTTCATGATAGCGTGGAGTCGCTCAGCATTGGCACCCATATCCCTTGGTCGATGGTACTTGCATTGAGAACGAATACTGGTGCTAAGCCACTAGCCGAGCACATACAGTGGAGTCGCAAGGTACTCGAGGATCGCATCAAGGTAAGGAGGCAAATTTTCTTCCCAGTGGTTTCAAGGTGTCTGACAGTGACTAGACTAAGCCAAAAGAGAAAGACGTTTTCTCGTCGCTGCTGACGGAAGGTGATGATCATGTCACATCCGACATGATCTCTGATTCTCGGCTTTTGATCGTAGCCGGCAGGTATGTGTGACCCAAAGCCCGATCCCCCAACTGGGCGTCAGAAGACTTGCTGCATACACGATTAGACTGTGTTCAGTTGGGAAAATAACTCCGGGTATCGGCACTGACATCATGACAGCGATACAACAGCGGCAACCCTATCCTTCCTCGTCTGTGAACTCTGTGCAAGGCAAGACATTCAAGCTAGACTCCGCGAGGAGATTGATGCGATCAAGTCAGGAAAAGCTCATCTTGATGTCAACGATCTTACAGAATGCGAATATCTCTACGGTGTCATCCAGGAAACTCTGCGACTTCACCCGGCGGTTCCCTCTGGCCCTCTGCGTGAAACACCCCGCGAAGGCCTTACTCTCCCCGATGGAACATACATTCCTGGAAAGGTCATCGTACAGGTACCAACCTACGCCATTCAACGGGACCCACGCTACTGGGAGAGGCCTCTTGACTTTATGCCCGAACGCTGGATTTCTGAAAACCCCACCTCCGTTATGGACAAGCGCACGTTTCTCGCCTTCAACACCGGACCATACAGCTGCATAGGACAGAAGCTGGCTATGATGGAAATGCGCTCCGTCGTGGCGAACCTGGTGCGATTGTTTGAGGTTGAGTTTGCAGATGGTGAAGACGGAGGCACTATTAGAAGACAGACCCGTGACTGCTTCACTGTGACTGTCGGCAAGCTGGACGTTAAGCTTACGCCTAGACGATCATGACGATGAAGATAAAGTGGCCTAAAGTTAATGGGGTCCTTGGATTTCCCTTGTGTTATTTTATGGGAATTTTAACATACTCATCATCGGCAACAATGCCTGTTAGAATAGTGATAGCCCTGATTGAGATAAAAGTAAGTAAAATTTTAGCGACTCTTCAAGTCAGACATATTTCCCATCTTGGATATTGATATTTGGGGGTAAAAATAATTATATAGCACATCAACAGTTGCTGTCCCCCATCCATGATTTAGGTCTCGTAGTGCCGGACGCATACTTCCACTTTAGACGCATCCCTATCTTAGCGAGTTGTAGATGATAACGAAAAAATGTCTCCATCGTAGCTACTCTCTCATCTTGCCCATGTCCATTACAATCAAAGACTCACCCTTTTTCTTATTTCTGAAATGAACATGGCCTTTCAGTTATTACCTTCCTCCCTTGTCGCATGCATACGATAAGTGTAGTGAATACCTATGATAAAGGACTCGTCATACAATGTCGCAGGTGCACAAGAGGAGGGTTTGAGGGAAGAGATGAAATACTGTTTACGCTGGGAGATGGTTAGGATCATACTCGAGGACACGGTTACTTGTGCTTATGCGCGGTTGGCGGAGGCTGAAGGCGGAGAGCATATGAATGAGCTTGGGGTGTTTTTCCCAGCCATATCTAGTCATTGAATAGTGTTTGCGGAGGTCTCGGGTGACTACTCATCCTCAGAAACTTCAGTCGTGAAGGCAATACTTTTTTATCCCATTGAATTGGAGACCACATGGCATACATGTTGAGCTTCGTAGCAAGGGGCATTGAGGCTGGGCGTTTTCGTCTGCATTACCGATCGTCCACACACATACGGGCAGTATCGCATCTGCCTATAAGAAAACAATAAGTAATCTTGTCGGCCTAGAAAAGAATACATGATAAGCTGCATATAGTAGTTTTCTTTGTTTGCGCCTTGAATAAACAAGAGTCCGGTGTCCTGTGCATATAACGCTTCCGACACATATCGGGACTTAATAGAGAAGAAATATGAAATAGGCGTTAGCCGCTTCGCTACCAATATATCGATTGCCAGCCATTGTACACATTGATGATTAGCATTGTCGTTGACAAAATCTGTTTGATACACTGTAGGATACTTGCCACAATGTTGCAATTTCAGAATGAAGCGAGCAAAGACTGTTGTGGTAATGTACATATCCGCTGCATCCCGCTTGAACCCCCACGTTAAGTTATGCCATCTGTCGGTCGCTGTCTCCCATATGTGCATTCTCTCCCGATGGATTTGACCAAATGTCCGTCAATCGCTCAGAATCCCGAAAAAGGACGTATTTATCGTTTTTTCGCATCGACCTTCTCCTCGAGGGTACGAACGTAGCCCTCTATCCGCTGTACGGCCGACTGGAGAGCCTGTTGTCATGTCAGCCACTGTCCAATTGCTTTGTCCCCTCGCTAGATGCCCGCGACCTAACCAACTGCGCATTTGTAGGACACCAAAAAGAGGGCTAACGTACGTAAATGTCTTCGGTGAGGAGCTGGTTGGAAACGCGGTATTCGTCAATGACATAATAGTACATGCCTGCGCCTGATGTGGTCGCACCGAGGAGGAAGCCGAAGAGTCTGTATCGTGTTAGCAGTGTCTCTTGCTTTTCGCCATGCCGCCCAATGTCTCCGAATTGTTCCTCCACCCACTCCCCAGGGCGCCCAACATTTTGTTTGCCAGACCCGCCCGCAATCTATCAATGAAGCAACTCACCCTCCGCGAAAAGCACCGACAGGCTTCTTGACTGGCGCAGCAACTGCATCCTGCCTGAGGACAGCACTGGTCTGGAATGCGCGCGAGACAGTCGCCATGGGAGGTCGGCATCCCGCTCCAGCGCGGGCCGCCTGCCTCAGGAGCTGAGCAGCCATTGTGTTTCTTTTGTGCTCTTTTCGGTTGTGTCGTGGCTGGCCTTAGAATTGGCTGGTATGCGGATATATGGCGACAGTGTAGAGGGCGGGGTGGATGGTGGTGGATGTCGTTCGTGTGCCCGGTTGGTGACGTTTGGCTGAGCTCTCCGCACCCTCTAAACAAGCAAGCTCTCTCATCGTTCGCCTGACATGGACCCTTCCTTGGCTGCTGATTGGCTGACTCAGCAACACACCCCGCCAGTCTCGATTGAGTGGACTATGCCTGCTGCTGCCGTTGATAAAACCACATGGCGTCTTGTCCAAGATTTGAATATGTATTCTGGAAGCCAAACCTGATGCAACCCCATAAATAAAGCTGTGCTGATCCCTTTGGCGTGTCTGCTGCACTGCCTCAGCCTAGGCGCCTTGCTTCTGACTGCTTTTTGAGCGCACGGCTATCATGCGGGAGCCTGTTCGTAGTGGGGGATGAAAATCAGGAGTAGGACTTGTGAGCCGGTCATGATGGTTGCCTCAGATTCGGACACTAGTCACTTTATGAGAGAAAAAGGACATGTACAAGAGCCCCTGAGGTAGGAATTACACACCAAGCCGTTGGGAGCCCACACAGGCTAAGATATATTTTGAACAATATCAAAGACTATACATGGTAAGGGTATTAAAAATTTTTATAAGCGCACTTGAAGCCCATCTAAGGAAATATGTCTCGGCTAAGAGGCAGCGTCTGGGTACAGTCCACCATCTTGGCCAACTGCTCCTGCTTGACCCCGAACAGGCTCACCTTGATGTAAGCTCGGGCATAGTCTGCGTTCCACCCGCCCTGGTTTCCAACGAATCTGCGCCAGTCGCCACTAGTCTTGGGGTGTTGGGACAGCGCTTTGTCGCTGGGAAGGACAAAGACTTTTTGCTCAGCCGTAGCACCAACAGGGTTGTTGAGCGTATCATTATAGAACTCTACATCCCATACACCAGGAGTAGAGTCGAGGGGCTTACTGACCGCTGCTGATGACTTGTCGACAAAGCGCTGACGCGCTGTTGCGTGAGCACCCACCAGAGCTGCTAGATCGCGTTCAGAAATGCCCTTCCTCTTGAACAAAGCAATCAGGTTGTCAGGGTCATCATGAGTGTCTGGCAAAAGGCCTATCGGGTTGGCCTTGGTGGCGTCCAACCGTCCGACAAAGGTACGCACACGCGGTCCTTTCGGACAGGAAACGGTGGCGTGGTTATGAGCGTATTGCACAAGATCAGCATATCCCACCTTGTACTTGTCCCGCACCCCGCGTAGCAGTGTGCGTACATTTTGAAGACCGTTGTTTTCACGACGGTCATGCTCGCCGAAATCCATGATTAGCGACCCGTCGGCACCACCGTGGCTGGAGCTCTCGTCCCAGGACCCTGCATCGTGGAAACCCATGCGGACAGCTGCTCGAGCATTGTCGTTACACTCCTTATCTTGCCCAACAAAAAGCTGGGTTAACTCTGCAGAAACGTCGTACCCTGTTGTCTGTCAGTCTGCAATGCACCAAAGACATGCTTTGGTCAACTTACACACGCAGCATTGATCTTTTTTCTGATCACATTTGGGAGGTTTTGGTCTCTGGTTGTTGTCGGTCGCAGGCTTGTTGCCGCCAACGATGTCCTGGACAAGCTGCCCGATTTCGTTGAAGCTACCACCAAGCTCGGCTTCAAGTATATTGAATAGAGCCTCCCGCTGTTGCAAGGGCCCTGCTGACGCAAAGAGGGAAAGCCCAAGAAGGGAAAACATCAGAGCTGCCTTGAAAACCATGTAGACGGAAGAATAATGTATATAATATATACATGTAATAATGGACGAACAAGTGAATGACAGAACAGACAAGCAATTAAAGACGAGATTGGCAGGCTAGGGAACAGATACGAGACTGCATGTAGGAGGGACTCTTATATGTCTCTCTGGTGTGCCAACGGGGGTGGAGTGCCATTGCTTTGAAGGCGTCATTGTGTCTGGTCAGGCTTAGCACGGCAGCAAAAACTAAAGGCGTTCCTGAAATGGCAAAAATAGTCACCAAATAGGAGTGGTCCCTGCATACGCGAGACAAGTCACTGCCTCTGGCAAAAGGATATTGGGAAAGACGGCCAACAAACTCTCAGCTGCAAGCCCTTGCAGGTATGCAAGTCCGAGCGCAGCCTCGACATGTTTGGATTCAGATCCGGACCGCTGGCACGAGGCGACAGCGGGTGAAAGGAGCATTTAGAACCAGAAGCGGTATGCCAAACATGTCGAATGATAGCCTAGCGACATGGAGAGTATTCACATGCTGAACATGGCACGAGAATAGTACCTAGACGCATTGCCATAACAGCAGTGTGATTTCTACTGTGCAATGCACACATGAGTTGTATGTAGGGATGCTGTCAACCAAACGCGGGCATGAACAACTGATCATTGCTAGGTTTGCTAGCGGCTGGCTGGCTGGTTCTTGGCTCCCTGATACGCAGTGTAGATCTACAGTGTCGAGGGTCCAGAGCTTGCAGTAGTTTCGTGTGTCGTCGCGATATTGCATGGTGGCGTTCATCAGCATGCCTGAACTGGCAGACAGGCAGGCATCTTGTTTAAAATGTCAAAACTCAATACAGTCGGCATGCAGATCTGGGACCTGAGGCAGAAGACCGACAAACAAAGCCTGGTGCCAAACGTGCACGGACGGGGGGTAATGGCCTGGAGATGGGTATCAAGCAACTGGTTTGTTCTTCGAACGCGGTGATGCTGAAACTATGGACACATGTCCCGAATACCATCAAGAGCTAGCTAGCCCTGCGGGGTTGGGGGGTAGCTCGAGTGATTTGGCTGTGTGCTGCGCGATGATCTTGTTTGAGACGCGCGCATGGTGTTGAGTACATTCTGCCAACATGGAAATGCAATCGGCCTGTGGATTGGCGGAGAGCCGGAGCGGTATCCTAGATAGGAGGGACACATGCTTTGCCTCGGCCCCTTTCATGCCAAATCGGAACTTTTCTTTGGCGAGGGCCTAGGATCGGCGGCCAGCATTTCTAGTCGCTGTGGCTAGCGATGGTCCGATGGTGTGTATAGTCACGTGTGGTCACGTGCAAGCCGCCAGCGGAGTCCGAAAAGGGCAAGAGGGGCAGGGCATGGCATGAGGCTTGACGTGCAAATGCGGTGACATACAGCTGCAACCGCTAGGGTGGTAGATGCGCAGTGAGTGCGAGCAGACGTCCTTGGGGGTCCCATTGTGTAAGCAGTCTTCAGCGTCTTGAAGTCGCTGTCTGGTGCAAATTGCCAAGAGTCAGCCCGGGGGAGCGGAGGCGGGGTAGAGAGCACGGCTGATGCGTACACATGAAGACGAACCAGCCAATAGTAACGTGGGGACAGAGGGGTGATGCTGATACTGCTGACACTGCTGCTGCTGCCGCTGCTGCCGCTGCTGCTTATCGCAAGCCATGGAGAAATTGAAGATGTGGAGCTGAGATGTGTAGGCGCAAGAAGAAGACAGCGGGCGTTTTGGTGACTGACTGGCTGGTGGTGTGTGGCTGGTGCAGGTCCAACCAGGGCGCGTTGTGGTTCAGGGGAGGCACGGGAGGTTTGATATTTCTTGGCAGGCGTGGGCAATCCGGAGGCGAGTTCCCGGCCACTTGCACCCCAATGTAGCGACTCGATGCCAACTTTCGTGCATTTTTATTTCGTCTCCACGCTCTTGACCCCATAACGCGCCTTTTTTTGCTCAAAGCGAGATCCCCTCGCCCCACTGTTCCATCGCCACAATTTCATCCGCGTCATGCACCCTGATGTCGCCCCCAGACTCGTCTGGCAGCAGCCTTTCCAAGCGGCGCCGCACAGTCGAAGGCTCCTGCTGGCCCTGCAAGCAGAGGCGCGTCAAGTGTGACCTCCAGAAGCCATGCTGCCGCCGCTGCATCAATTCAGATACTCAGGATTGCAGCTATGACAAAGTCCTGCTGCGTTGGAAGAAGCGCCCTGCCAAGCCAGTGCCCCAACCCCAGCCGCGCCTATCTCAAGAGCACTCGCTCAACGGCCTCGACTTGGCTCTGAATGAGCGGAAGGCCATTGACTACTTCCGAGCTCGCCTATGGCCTCTCTTCTCCACTCTTCCCGAGCCGTGTCCCCCTCCAGTTGCACTCGCCTTGCGTTCCCAGCCAGTCCTCCAGGCCCTATGTGTCTTTGCCGAAGAGCACCGTGCCCTACAAACAAAAGAATCTCCTAAGCCCAGTCTCAGCAAAAGGCGTCTGCAGTGTCTTTCCGCCATCCGTACCCATCTGGGTGGCGGGGTTCCCGAAGGCAATGCTCTCTCTGCCCTCCTTGTGGCAGTTCTCCTACTCTACTTTCTCGAAGGCTATGTCAACTGCACAAATGACGGTGCATCCACCCATTGCCACTTTGCAGGACTATTGGCCATCATCAACACCCTTGGCGGCTTCCAAGCAGCATGGACCTCATCCGACCGGGTTACTAGGATGCTTTTGTCCGAAATGGCATCTACTGACCTGACCGATGCTTTGCTGCAGGATAGGCCCCCTTCGTTCCCAGCTTCAATCTGGAACTTTATGGAGCCTGGCTCTGTCTGGTGGGAGACTGTTCCTGGAAGCAGGACTCTTGGTTCCGTTTTCTCCACCATGGCCGAGATGAGCTTCTACCGCCATGAAGTTCAAAATGGGGCAGGCTTTTGCATGGACCAAACACAGGCCTTTGAGCGCGCTCTTCAACCTACATATCCAACTCCCGACAACCCCACCGAATCTCAGGCCAGCGAACATGCTACCAAAACATTACCCCAACTCACAGTAGAAGCATCACTTTCCCTGATAATTGCATTTCAACATGCAGCACTCATCTACCTCTACAGCGCCATCCACAACATCCCGGCCAAGCACTTCCTTGTACAGCAGCATGTAAAGGCTTGCTTGGATTGTATACAGGGCATGGACCCGAGGACTAAGGCCCAAAACTGTGCTCTTTTCCCCCTGTATGTAGCTGGCGCCCATTCGCTTGATGAGTCACAAAGGGCGTATATTTCCGAGACACTGGATACGATTCACAAAAATCTGCAATTCGAGTCTGTTGCATCCGTCTCAGCAACTCTGGACACGCTGTGGCAGTCATCCCATAGTCCTACTGGTTGGGTTGATAGTTTCAAGGACACGGCAACATGTACTTTAGTTATATGACCAAATCTCTTTATTACTCGATACCATGTATTTAGAACTCGACTTATAGTCGTATAGCTTTAAGAAATGACATGTATGCTCGTTCAAAATTCTAGTGTGTGTTCGAGTGATATATGGTACGCCTGTGATATCTTTTCCCATCAAGAAAAAACTCCCCAGTTGTAGTGTTTAAGTACTGCTAAATATGGACCTATTTCTTTCCGAACGGCACGTAGAATATTACTACGTATACCCTATGACGTAATCTGTTACATGGCTCTAGCGCAGTGTCCCACAAATGAGATAAGACGGCGCTTATAGTTATAACTAGCACCGCTGGTGAGTAAGCGCTAGAGAAAATTGTAGATTCTAAAGAAAGATGTTAGATATGAAATGATCAACTACAAACAATGTTACGGGCAGTCCCTTGTATACACACTCAAGTACAGAGGTCTGGCTGTCTTAAAGAGGAAACAATTGCGAATAGTAAAGGCAAGTTGGGAATTTACCCAACAACATGCAAAATGCTATACTTGGGACTGCATTTAGACAACGAAATAGACCATCAAAACTACTCTATGGGCCTTAAGATATATTATTGAGCTATGCCAATGTAAGATCCATCGGATTTATGGGGGCCTGATATTCTTCTACGAATCAGACGTTTCGAGGATCATGTCACCTTTGCTGTGAATGCTGGCAATGTTTCTCCCAGAGTTCGAAATTGACGAAAAGGAGATTACTCGATTGAACCAACTGAAACCATTAATCTATCATCATATTTTCCATTCATCTCGCTCGGTTATAAGCGTAAGGACACAAGAGTTCAACTGCTACTACTTCGTATGCATGGCGAGGGAACCACCGGAGCTGGCAGTGCACTACGAAAAACCACCATGTAACGACACAGACACCTTCTCAGCTCCACCTTCCACAATGGGTCCTGTCAATCATCGCCTGCGGGCAGCTAACTTCTCTAAAATCCACACTGGGATTATCCGCATTCTTGAACCAGTCAAACCTCCAGAAGCAGCCATCGCGAAAAGCTCCAGCAGGAAGATTGTAGCAGTGGTCTCGCTGCCAATAACCCCCGAAAGTATTGCCCATCCACGCGCCGTTGAATTGTTTCGCACAGCCTTGAGGGAAAATGCCGACTCCGCCGCCGGGAATGGCAAGATCAAACTGGTTCTCCTTCAAGTCGCTGCCTGTGTTGGTTACCTGCACCACCATTTTCTTTCCGTTGACGGGACCCGAGGTAAAAGTGAGTCTGGCACTAAGTCAGCTTCTAGTTCAATTAATTCGGTTTTGCCCTGACATACTCGTAGCAAGCACAGCACCAGTCCCCCTCATTCTTTCCCTTCAGATTCGCCGCCGCAAACCCGTAAGCCAGGTTATCATTCACGGCCCACGGCCCGTTATTGCTGCAAGTGTAGGCCTCGCCATTTCCACATGCACTAGCCGCATTTGCGTCGAGAGGAGTCGGCCACAGGTCTTGTTTGTTACAGGTACGAACTGGCTCCGACACTTTTGCTTTGCCGGGCCAAGCGCACGACGGTTTGCAACAGTCCCAGTACCGAGTCGTCACACCTCGTTCACCGGAGACATGGTGGAGAAGGAGGGAGAAAGCGAGCGACAAGCGTGCTAGAGTCAAAAGCATGGTAGAGAATGGTACTGGTGAGTCAATGTGAATAAAGGTGAGGTTTTGTGTATTTTAGTTGATGGGTTTTTGTATTTCTTATAGTAACTGAGGGAACTTCAAGAAAAACGAGTGCGCACTCAGCTGAATGTTGCATCGTGACATATGGGGCTCGCTATAGTGCTACATAAGCACTAAGAAGGCTCTTTCAGCTCAACCCAATGTCGCGGGTATCCATCCACGTGTTGTATTTCAGCTTCTCATGTTACATCTCTAGAATGAAAGAGGAGTTCTTCCGAGGTCATTAATTTCCAAATGAGTAAGCTCATTATTGATGGTTGCATTATGAGTTGCACCAAGATCCTGAAGATTGTACCGCCCCACTCTTCCCTCACTGACTAGATCATGGTGGTGCTCAAGCTGAACTGTAGATTGCATTAGTGATATATAAATTAATTAATGCCAATAATACTGTAGTATACATCTCCTGAGCATAGTGCATCTCAGGTGAGGCTATTACGTATTAGGGTTGCTTCCTGAAGTGTTACTTCTGATCTCAAAATGCTTTGCAAGGGGTCATGTATTCGGAACCAGCAATGCTATGGGATCTTCGTTGGTGTAATTTTTAGATGCTTTTCAGCATAACCGTTGCTGAAATTGACGGCGGATGGGTGTACACTGAGAAAAGTCCAGAGAACCCTCATAGCAAACCCGACGACGTTCATCATATGAAGAAGTGGAAAAGCTAACACTCTCAGCTTTTGATCTACATTCACCTGTTGGAGAAAAAACCTCCATGCTCAAAGATGGCAATAAAGGGATTGCAAATTTGTGTTTAATCTATTGAACTACTGTCCCACCGATGGGGCAAATTCTGACCCATTCACTGAAAACACTCTCCATGGAGCGAGAGAATACGCCCGTAAAAGTGAACAAACACTGACGGATTTCAACCCTGGCAAAGTAGGGGACTGGCTGATTGGATATGTGCCATCGATGTGATAACTGTTAGTTAACAACATGAATTTTGGTAACCGACCATCGAAATCTACATCACTTAGGGACTCAAAAGGGAATGTGAAATGAGACACAATCGGCAATTGCCGAAACAAGCAAATGCCAATCCCCCATAAATGCACCAACAAGTCTTCCTAAAGACAGCCCCGCGAGTTTAGCCCCAACTACTGTTGCTAATCCAATAGATCCCTTCCCCATAGCGGTAAGAAATGTACATACACAGCAAGCTGAACTACCAACCTTGGGAATCGAGTAACGAAGTGTATCCTGTTCTCCATTCGTCTCACTAGTTAGATTGAACAGCCTCATGATGCCTTCTCTGGGAAATATGGTCGACGGCTTGAGTATTGGTCATTTAGCACGGGTGCAGGCTCTAAGTTTTATTTCGAAGCGAAAAAAGGCTGCTTGTGTAGAGGCACAGATTCACCAGTGACAGATGATAAGATGAGCTCATTCATTGGGCGCCGAGGAACTTTGTGAGCGAGCCGTCGGGAAAGTTGCATGTAAATTTGATGGGTTCAGAGTCCTCCATGGGGATCTAGTGCATGGGACATATTCACTGTTGCTTTGGTCGCCCGTTTTCATCTGGTTGTCGAACCACCACTGGAGATCCAAGTTCCCGTCAGAAAATAACTTGCAATGGTGAAAGTTTTATTACAATTTGTGTTTTGGTTCCGATGTCGGCTTAGATGTAGGCTTCGGTTTAGCATCGGCGAGATTGATCCTTCGTGAGCAGAGCTGAAGAACTTAGCCTCAACATTCCCAACGCCAACAGGATTAGTGCATGACCTGGCTCAGCCTCATGACCTGACGGCTGATGCAACGTCTGGGAATAATAGCAGCGGGGACTAGATCTGACGCTCCGGGCAGCTGTATCTCGAGGTAGGCAAAGGTGTAAACTGAGCGGCTAGCGTCACTACAGGGCCGACGATAGTCAGTACCAATGGTAGTTTCAGGCTGACCGTCATTCTCTGTTCTTCGAAGATGAACTATTCTTTGAAGGTACGTGTATACAAGAAGCTTAAATTCATGTCTTGTATTTAATGTATGATGGGTGATGTCAAGGCTCACGTGCAGTCGCGTCATGGCGTGTAGCAGCGCGTTGTAGTGGCGTCTGTTAACTCCGGCCTCTCATGTTTATCTCCGTAAAACAGCCGCCACCCAGCAAGCATCCCTCAAAGTACTTGCACCTCTTATGCTTGTAGCCTCTGCCACACCACTATACACACAATACGACTACTGAATACGGATACGATATAGATCGCCATGGTCCTCGGTTTCGAGCGCATCAATGAGCGCACTCAACGCCCCAACGCCCACATCAACTTCATACGCACGCTTCCTGGCCCGACATCCGCTACTGCCGAGAACATCCTGAACCGTGTCGCAGCCATATGCTATCCCTTCATGAAGTCGCACATGATTCTTGTCCAAGCGCTTGAGGAATTCCCGTACAACAACGAGTTTGTTGGTCGCAACTTCAATGCGGGCGAGGTCATACAGCTGGTGCTGAGGGATCGCAATGGAAGATGGCTACCCCAGAGAATGATTGAAATGGTCATGGTGCATGAACTTGCTCATTGCAAGCAGATGAACCACTCAAAGGCCTTTTGGAAGGTGCGCGATGCATACGCGGTAGAGTTAAGGGCACTCTGGGCGAGAGGTTTCACTGGTCAAGGGTTATGGGGTAGGGGTAGGGAGCTCGACACTGGCGCAGTGCAGACCAGTGAGGCAGATCACATAGATGTCCCTGAAAATCTTTGTGGAGGCACATATGCTCGAAAGGGCGGGAAAAGGAAGCGAGGCGCAAAGGAGAAGCCGACATTAACGTATGCAGAAAGGAAGCAAAGGAGAATCCTCAAGAAATTTGGCGCGGGAGGGCAGGCTCTAGGAGCGGATGAAGACACCAAAGTGAAGCTGGAGAATGGAATAGAGAAAAAGGGCAAACCGAGAGTCGCAGGAAGCGCACGAGGCCGAGATTTGAGGGCAGCAGCGGCATTAGCACGTTTTGACACAACGAAGAAAGGTGAAGCCACAGTCAAGGAAGAGCCGATGTCGGACAGCGATACCGAGGATGAATTCATCGAGGGTGACCAAAATGGTGCAGCAATCGATGTGGATGGCAAGAGCATGCTTGACGATAAAGGCCGTGCGCTCGTCAAGGTCTGCGAAGATGATGATGACGACAAAGATGGCGATGCAAAAAGAGAGTTGATCGAGATACAAGGCTTTTCCGCCTCGCGCAAAGGATCCAATGGACTGCCAGTATCGACCAAAGTCTCACGCAACCCGCGACAATCAAAACAGACCACAAAGAGTGCTCCGTCGACCGCTAAAACCAAACCCCATACCATATCAGCACAAGGTGCTTCATCATCAGTCATCTCATCTACAGAGCTCAGTACGCGCAACCACGAACTTTCACGCCCCGCACCTGGCCGGCCCCGCAGTTCATCATCATCTCTCTCACTTATATGCCCCATCTGTTCTCTTGAGAACGATGCCGGAGCACTGACATGCATGGCGTGTGCTCACGTGCTTCAGAAGGACTTTGTCGTAGATAGTTGGGCATGCAAGAGCTCAACTTGTAAAGGAAGCAAATACATCAACGCTGGAGATGCAGGTGTGTGCGGTGTTTGTGGATCGGCGAGGCAGAGGTGACGTCTTACAAGATGACCACTTCTTGTTCTATAAAGTGAGAACATAATGTTAAGATACTGGACATGATATCCCCGTTTCACAATGTCATAGCAATTTTAAGTGGCTGCTGCGAAAGTCGTGATTTCATTCTGTGCAACTGTAAAACGCCGAAACCTCCCCCCATTCATAACCTATACCGAGGACCGAAAAGACGAGTAAATGACAATCAACACCATGTAATGCCTAACAATACCCCCGCCTATCTCTTCACACTGGAAAAACACGCCCAAGACTGTGGGTCTCAGATGTTTCAAGGATACTGCAGGTTCTACCTTGCAATCCTCAACTGTGAACCCCCAATACTCTTCTTCGCACTAAGCGGCATACCCACACCCACTGCTCTTCGGCTATTCCTCCTCATGCCCTCCAGCTTGGCCTTCAACTGCTCGTGGATTTTTCTATTTTGTGCCCAGTCGTCCGCAAACTTTTGCATCCGAAACGCCGCAATGACTGCAAGAGCTGCCGATTTAAGCGTAGGCCGACGGTCGTGGATAGTAACGTCGGGTGTAATGCCCATCTGCGAGATGAGATTTAGATCTTGCTGGTTGCTGCACAAGCATTAGCCATACATGTCTAGCGTAAATAATAGAAAACAAGACAAACATACCATTCGTTGTATGTCGAAATCTGCATCAGGAAAAATCTCTTCTGGTAACCAAGAGCCTCGCGGAACGCCTCTGCGCGTGAGCATCGTGCTCGGAGGAACTGAATCTGCTTGGCAAGACCGTTGATCTCCTTGATATGCCGTTTGGTAAGAGCTTCTGCTTGCTCATCCAGGTCGACCGCATCTTGGTTGGCCTTTTGCTGTATCGCTCTTGACGACGCTTGAAGCAGACGCAGCTGTGATTCCTTTTCACGGAGCTGTGATTGCAAGTCCTTCAATTGGCGCTCAAGCGACGATTTTTGGTCGCGCGCAGTTGACTTCGTTTCAGAAAGAAGCTCACGATGTTGAGCGTCCTTCTCGCGAATTCTCGATTCCAGGTCGCGAATCCGGTCCTCGAGTTTGAGCTTTTGCTCGCGTTGAGCTGCTCGGGTCTCGGACTGCAATGCATTGCTCTGGCTCTCCTTTTCACGAAGCATCGACTCGAGCACACCAATCTTCTCCTCAAGTGAAGCCTTCTCTTCGGCTACCTCATCGGCGTCATCTTGTAGAACAGCTATTTCTTCTTCATAGTCTTCCTTCTCGCGATTGGTGATATCTCTGAGCTCTTCGAGTGCCTCTAGACGTTCCTCTGCTAGCCGTTGGAGAGCTTCAACTTGACTCCTTTGCGAATCCATCTGTTCACGAAGGTCTTCCAGTTCGTTATCCCGTTTACGAACAATGTCTTGCATGACATCAATCTGTGTATCTGGCTCATCGGCATGGCTTCGTAGGGCGTCGAGCTCCGCTTCCCGATCAGATATCGTTCGCCTTGCGGTTTCCAATTCTCTCGTTCGGTCACCGAGGTCACTCTTGAGCTGCTTAAGATCTTGAAGCATCGCCTCCTGTGCTTCGACCTTTCGCTGTAGAGTGGCTATGTCGCGGTCACGAGCTTGCAGTGTTGACTGAAGAGTAGACAGGTCCCGAGAGATCGCGTCGCGTTCCCGCGTGATTCTCTGGAGGGCTTCTATCTGCGTATCTTTGCCTGACACAGCCGATCTGAGGTTGCGCATCTCATTTTCGATGTCGTTGCGTTCTTGGCGAAGAGTTGCAACCAATGTGTCTCGGTCACTGTTGCCTCTCCGCAGTGCCTCCACTTGCTCCTCCTTAGTTGAGATTTTAGAGACCAGGCTGTCACGCTCGCGCCGAAGGGTAGTAAGCTCACGGGAGAGGGCATCGCGCTCTTGCCTCGCGTTGTTGAGTGCTTGGACTTGAGCATCTTTGCTGTTGAGATTTGCGCGAAGGCCGGTGAGTTCCTGAGTTGCGTCATCACGCTCTCTGCGTAATCTTCCCAACCCGTCCAAGTCGCGGTCCTTTTGACTGAGATCTCGACGCAACTGCTGAAGTTGCTGTTCATAGGTCGATACGTCTTGCTGCAAACGAGTGATCTGCTGCATCGCATCTTGGTGCTTTTTGCGGAATTCTTCAAGTTCGTCGGCTCTGGACTCAGCCGCATCGACTCGAGATTGCAAAAGCTCTATCTCAAGGCCTTTCTCATGGGCAACTTCCAATACTTTCTGCCGGGCATCGTTTGCAGATTGTTGAGCTAGTTGTACTTGGTTGTCGCCTTGGGATTCCGCAAGCTCCAATCGTTCATGCAGCGCATCCATTTCTGCTTGCCGTTCGTTGTGAGCAGTCTGAAGACGCCTCTGCAATTCTCGCAGCTCGTTATCCTTCTCGCGCTCCATCGAATGCAAGCGTTCTTCCACTATGGCGATTTCTCTTTGTTTCTGCTCATTGGCCTCATCAAGTTCCCGCTGTCTTTGTTCATCCGCTTCGTCCAGCTCGCGTTCCAACTCATCAAGATTTCGCTCAAGCTCACGTATCTCTTGTTGCTTTCCGTCCGTGGCAGACTGCAGCTTTGACTGTAGAGAGTTGATTTCAGTGTCCTTTTCGTGTTCTAACAAGCGAAGTCGTTCCTCTAGGTCCTGAATCTTCTCCTTCCGTTCAGCCAATTGACGATCTTTTTCTGCCTGGACTGTATCCTTGGAATCCTGAACAGACCGCATCTCTTCTTCAAGTTCAGCGATACGCTGGGCTTGTTCCTTAAGCTGGCGATCTTTCTCTTCATCGCGGGACTGTGACACCCTCGCTCTTTCTAGCTGATCTTCCAAATCTTTGATGTGCTCGTCGTTCTCGTCTAACATCCTGTCGCGTCTTTCGACCTCTGCTTGTGCATTCTCCAGGTCCGCATTGGCTCTCTCCAGCTCTTCTTCCGCGCTCCTTGCCTCTTCCAGCTTCTCCTCGAGTCGTTCAATCTCAGCAGCGCGCTCATCGGCCAGTCGTCGGAGCTCGTCCATCTCTTCGCGCATACCCTCGTCTGCATGCCTCCGCTTGACTTTCTCCGCATATTCTCGGAGTTGCTGTTTGTAGTGGTCCAGTTCTGTCTCGGCAGCTTTGAGGTCTTTTGAGTAATTTTTGAGGTCGCGCGACATGGTAACTTTCTCGGATTTCAGGTTGATATTCTCCTCCATGGCTTGACGGTTGAATTCGGGCCCCATCTTCTTCAGGTTCTCTTCGAGGAAATGGATCTTCAGCTTCAGGCCGAAATTTTCCTTATCAATCTGTGCTAGTCGCTGCATGTAGTATTAGCCGGTTTGGACTACAGCCTTGTTATTAACACCTTAGATGTCTGTATTCACTTACATCTTCCTGCTCTCTTAGGGTGAGCACGTTGCCGTTTCCACCGTCCATCTCCCCCTCTGCCCTCCTTGGTATTGCCATAGGCGTGCTCATAGCACTAGAGTTGGGATCGGGCAGCTGTGTGCGGTCATCGACCGATTCGGCAAAAGAACTTGATTGCACGTCGAACATGCTTGCCTCAGGAAGCGGCGTGTTGCTGACCTGAAAACCTGGCTTCATGGCAATGGGTGTCGTAATCTTCCCGTCAAAGAGGCCGTTGACTTGGCGTGTTCGATTCGCGGTTGCACTCTTCAGCATAGGTGTGAACTCGTTCTTCGCACTCAGGTTCCGTCGTGTAGTCAGCTGAGCCCGTGGCGTGCGGGCGCCGCTCATTTGTTTGAAGAGGCTGTCGCGGTCTGTCGGGGCATGGAATGTCTCTTCCATGCTGAAGGAGGGCTCGTTAGTAGTGAAGCGCGTCATGTCGCCAACCTCTGTGCGAGGCGTATCGAGTAGGTGCGCCATGGTCGGGTGATAGGTATGTTGTCTATTGACGCATGAGTGAGAGAAATGGCGGATCCTGTGGCGCGCGCGCACGTCAAGTAATTGTTGACTTTTTTGGTTTGTCTCTTGGTGATACTTTGGGCGGTGTTGTTTGTTTGTGACGCTCGGACCACGACAGGGATGCTGCCCCCGCCGCTAGCCAAATCCGGCTGAATCCGCAACGCGCGTTGCGGCCAGTCACGTGTTCTGATTTTGCTGCCTGCACCAAAATCTCTATCCTAGCTGCCCTCAGGAACCGTTGCTGGGATTTGTGATTTTCTCCCTACGGAAAACTCCCCGAACCGATCGTTTTCAAAGCTCAGTCTTTGTTTTCCACGAGAATTCGTGCTCAAAATACGACAAAACCAGTACAAGATCTCCGCGACATGGAAGGCCCGCAGGGCGGCCTCAAGTGGTTTGGCGAGGGATTTGACGGGTTCCCCAAGAAACTACCGGACGACGTTGTGGAATACATCATCTTCATCATAGACTCTACGCTCTCTGATATCCAAACTAGAGAAAGACTGCAGGTATTCCAACGTGCATTGAATACGCTGGAAAAGAAATTTCTCAAGGAGTATATTTGGCAACGCGACTCGCTGAAACTTGAACTTGTCCGCGAGGAACAGAGATGGCTACTTCGAGGACACACAAACTACGGCGATAGTATAGCGGACGAATGGCTCATCGTTTACCTTTTGCGTAAGCTAAGCAAAGAATTCAAAGATGCTTGGATACGCATATACGATAGTGATGGAGAGTTCCTACTCATCGAAGCTGCGAATGCACTGCCCAAGTGGCTCACTCCAGAAGTTGCAGATAACAGGGTGTGGATAAACAGTCATCGAATGTTAATCATTCCCTTGGGCAAGGAGGAGGACCCTGCACCGCTCTCCCAGAATCAAGCCCTACAGATAATTCATGATACCCCGGGTCGGCCTCAACAGTATATCAAGGTCGAGAAAGAGGCATTCCATCGATTAAGTGGCTATCCCGCTGCAATCGCAGACAATCAACATCATGCAACAGTGCCCCTTCCTCGAAAAGTTGCCCACATCCTACATCTAAATCCATCGTACATCGCCCCAGTAGTAGAGGCATTCTACCTCCGCGACCCCATCTCAATACGTCTCCTACAGCCCGAAAAATCAAAGATACCTCTCGTATTCCCACCGGAAGACTTCGTCGACGTTAGTGTGCGTTTTACGAAAGTACTATATGCGCAGCTACTTGGACAGCACTGGGAATCACCTGCCCCATGGGACTATGCGCTGGAACAGCTCGTAAAATCAGGAAAGCCAACCGAGAAAGCCGAGATAGGTCTCAAGATTGCAGCTGGCATGCAGATGCTACTTTCGCATTCCATTTATGCCTCACACAAATCTGCACGTGAGATTAACATACTGCTCGAGGACCTCGAAAATGGCGACGACTCTCTTCCTACAAATGCTGAGATTGCTAGCTGGCCGAAATGCGACGATGACGAAGGCTGGTTGAATATCGATTTTGCTGAGTTCGAGAGGGAATTAGAGGGTAAAGGTAGCAAAGGAAACCAGGGGTTTGGTGACAAGAATGCACAAGAGAACCTGAAAAAAATGGTCGCCCGATTCAATGATTTCCTGGCCGACAATGAAGCGGGCGCGGAAGGTGCGGACGGAGGATTTGACCCTATGGATGAGGACAATGATTCAGATGCAGGAGATAGAGGGTGGGATGACCCTGAAGACAGTGACTCTACTGCGGAAACCAAGACCAAAAATGAATCAAAGGCAAAGGTCAGTCATGAGGAAGAACGAGAAGGGGAGGAAGAGGAGAATGGTACGGACGACCAGGAAGATGCCGCGGCAGATGTCGAGTATGCGGAGTACGAGCACTACTACCAGAAGTTCATGACGCTCTCTGCAGTGGAAAAAGCTATTCTTACAGATGAAGCACGTGCCCTAGCACTTGAACAGGATGCTGAAAAAGAAGAAGACGAGGAAATTCGTAAGCTAAGCGAAATGATGGAAGCCGAATTATTCAGCCATGGTGCTTTGAACATCAACCCACAGTCCGATCAAAAGTCAATATCGGGAGTTACTTTGCCGGGAAAAGACAAAGGCAAAGGCAAAGCGAAACTCTCAGAGATTGAGAGTGCGGAAGAGGACGAAGAGGAGGACGACGGTGACGATGATCTACTCGATGAAGACTACAACCTTGCAGATAACATGCTGAAGGCGTTCAAAGGCCAAGTTGGCATGGCTGGGCCGGCAGGAAATATGATGAGAGCCATGGGTGTACAATTTCCCCAGGACGCTGACGATGAAAGCAAGAGTGGGCCGTCCAAACACTAGGAAGTGTCTGGAAATTCGAGATCTTTTGGTCGCTTTGAGCCGAGATACCTAAAACTGTCCATCGCGTTGGCAAAGCCTTTGCATGCATCGTACACGAAACTGTAACTGCTCCTTATCAACTTGTTGTCTTGGACGTGGATATAAATATAGTCGATATCGGACCCGTAGTCTCTCGTCTTTACTATTCCCACACAATCGCTTTCCAATCCCTAAACTCTCTCAACCATACAATCTGCCATTCCGAGTCTTAGTTCTCTGGGATTTGCTTCTTTAAACCTTTTATTATCGGATGGATGTAGCGTACGATCTTCGAGGAAATTTTTAAGGGATGTGAAAACGCCGCTCACGCGCCTGAATAGATATAGGTCAATGCCACGCTTGGAGGTATGACAAGACTAGCAACGCGCAAGATTCTTTATTGTTAGATGATAGCCTCCACTTAGTATGGTCAGCGCACATCCATCTTCAGCAACATGTACAGGAATGTCTAAAGACCTGGCGTGCTCTCGCACTACATTGATTCCCTCATTGAACGACTCCCAACCACGCACCATAACAGATTTGATGACTGGACACCACTTTCCCTTCAGCTGAATCATATCACTGAGAGAAGCCCGATTCAGGTCAGCAAAATGGCAATAGCTCAGGTCCAGATGTTCCAACGACATTGGGAGATCGCGGAATCTCACAAGCTTTTCGAACTCCATGGCCATATGCGTGAGACTCTCAAATTCGCGGAATGAAGGGTATGTGTAAAAACAGTCTTCTAGATGCTCTATCTCTTCTAGAAGTTCTAGATCGTGGAGATTGTAATAGTCATGAAAGTCCAGGTGGAGCGTCTGCAGCTTTTTTCTGTGCGTTTGAAGCAATGCCTTGACAAGATCCCGTGGCGTAACCAAGGGTTGATAGCCCACATCCCACAGCCATCTGTAGCGGGTTCCGTCGGGTATGATGAGTCTGAACACGGTCAAACGCGGACATGTCTGCAGTAGCGCTTCAATCGTGGATAATGGTCCTAGACACCAAAGCAATTCTGCGGTATTGTGTGTCAAAGTATTGACTGCGCAAGACCCATCTGGAGTGTTTGGCACATCGCTCTCAGAGGAGAAATTTTCGAACAAGGGGAAATGCATAAGAGGTATGTAGTTCCTTATATTGAGAGGGCCGTCCTCGTACTGCTTGTGCCTGGATGTCTAAGATTAGCCGCATTTACCCAAAGCTCGTAAGAGCGAAAACCGAACAGCTGATCTATCTTGCTTAGATTTTGGTAATGCAGAAGGGGCACTTACAAGTGAAAAGTCTTCAACATGGACAAGATCGAACGACCATTCTGCATCTCATAGATACGATCCATCAAAGCTCGTGGTGCTTCGATTTGAGCTGTGAAGTGGATGTGTTGCAGATTTGGCAACCGAGCCAGAACCTGAACAGCAAGCGGGTAGTAACATAGCTCAGGTTCAATCTCAGAGGGATGAACTCCGATCAATGCTGAGAGTTCCATAAAGCCTGCATCTTGCTCAAGAGCAGGCCACTCATAATGCAATCCCCGGTCATTGTATTATTATTCCATTATAATCCTGTATCAGCCGTTGGCTATGTAGGACTTTGGCCAAAGGCCGTTCTATCTAACTAGTTTCAATTTGGTACGTTGTGCTGTACTGCGTGACTATAGTGCTTCGGCCTTTATCTAGTTAAGCTAGTACTAGCTTTCTAGACGCCTGGTGCTAAAGAGCAGTTTGGTAACAGGGAGAGATGTAGGGCAGCTAGGCTGTCTTCTAGCGAGCTCTCTTAGGGGAAAGGAAATAACGCTAATAATATCAAATTCTTCTTCTTTATTTTTCGTCTTTTATTGTTATTTCTCTTATTTTTCCTTCTAGCCTTCTTAGCTAAGGTGCTACGTTCTTGTTCCTATCCTCGTGCTAGTAATAAAAGCTAGAGTAGAAGCGGGAGTTTAAGTACTTTTTAGTCTAGAGTCTTTTTAAGCTGGTTTCTTTCTGCGCTGTAGAAGCCGTAGTATAGAAGTAGATACTCTACTATTTATAGTCTCCCGTATTTATAAAGATCGCATTCTCTTCTCTTAACTCTCTTTAAATAGAAGTTAAAGTATCTATATCCTATCTTAAGAGAGTAGAAGGAGCTTAAAATCTCTCTTTTTATGCCTCTTAGGATTGCTAGTTAGTTTTTAAGCTTTAGATTAAAGATAGCTCCGTAGCTATTCTTCTTCTCTCTTACTATTTCTCTATACCTTCTCTACTCTTCTACTTAGCTAGCTTATTATAGAAGCTTAATCTTAGTGCCTATGAAGGCTAGGCTTATTTATAATTTTTTTAGTATTTGTTTTATAGCCTTGTTTACTAAGAAGTCTACTTTTTCGTTTCCTTCTATATCCATATGGCCTAGTGTTACAAGTAACAAGAAGGATTCTCTCCTTGACAAATGACGAGATGGCTGAAGGCCTATGGACGTCCACGTCAGAAGGTAATGATCATCGCGGGGCTAGGTCACGTGATGTGCCATCCCGCCAAGGGCAACCATCCGAGGGATGGCAGGACGCCTTGGGATGGCAGCCATCCCCAACATCACAACCATCCCAGGGATGGCAGGGAAGTAAGGGATGGCAGGACCAAAGGCAACGGATATAAGAATGGGTTGGATTTCATTATTACATTCGTTGTGGTCAACTCAAATTGTACTTTCTTACTAGTATCTTTACTTAACAAGATTGTCACAAGTTAGTCTATCAAATAGATTAGTCTTGTCAAACCCTCCTTAAGCACGCCAACTCCACTGCATCGCCAGACAAGCCTCACGGAACACTAACGTAATACTCACCTGCCTTAGTGCGGACCAGGATAGAGAAGTATAGACCCTTACCCCGTGTAACATAATATAGAATTCGCTTTTCTTAATATTAACTTGAAGTCCAGTAGCTCACAACCTGTCCAGTACCTTGCGGACGTGACAGACGTGGTCTAGACTGAATTTGGAGTACACTAGAATATCGTCTAGATAGACTATGCAGAAATTGTCTAGATAATTAATTAGCACATCGTTTATATACCGCTAATACGTAGCCGGGCCGTTATAAAGTCTAAAAGGTAATACCTTCGACTTATACGTTCTATAGCAAGTGCGGAACGTTGTGTACTCTTCCAAGTTAGGGTCTATTCAGATCTTATTAAAGGCCGCGCGAATATCTAGCTTCGTAAAAATCTAAGCTTTATACGTACGAGCTAGTAGTTCGTCTATTCGCGGTATCAGATAAGCGTTCTTTCAAGTAATAGAATTCAGCTTATAGTAATCTATACAGATACGTAGGTCTCCGTTAGGCTTCCGAACACATAAGATAGGGGAGGCGAATAAGCAGTAACTCGAGTTAATATACCCTTTTTAGAGATTTTCCATTATAAAAGTTTTTATAGCTTTTAGCTCTTTAGTACTCTGCTTATAGAGAGGACTGAATTAATTCGGAAGGGGTTCTATAAGAACGATCTTATAGTCGTATCGACGATGTTCCGGCAGCCGATCAGCGGCTGTTTTGCTGAAAACATCTCGGTACGCATAGTAGTCGGAAGGAAGTCGGTCCTGCACTAATTTAGCATTCTTAGGGTCGTCTTATTCTAACCTTTCTTATAAGATTCAATCTATCTCATAGATACTAGTCGTGAAGAAATCGTTTTCCTTCTGTTTTATAGTATAATAGAAAGCATTAGTGGAAATAACCGCTATACGAGGTAAGGTAGATTTTAGCGCCGGAGTCTAAGGTGACTCTAGTTTAGGTGGTAAAGGCGGCGGAAGGAGACGTACCTTAGGAATTTTAATAAGTCCTTAAATTCGCTGGACTAGCCCTTGTCGAGAGCTAGTTTATCTACAGTACTTATTCTTTTCCTAAAGGGCGTCTCTACGCCAGATATCTAGTTGCGCATCAGTATTAGAATAGGGTAATTTCAACTACACGAGAAGAGAGGGGCTAGAATTATAAGTTAGGGGGTATTAAGCTAGCCATACGATTCAGTTCTAAGCGGTATTGAGCTTTAATTAGAATCGTCGCATTTATTTAATCCTAATAATATAATCCTAAGATCCTAAATCTATAATTATAAAGGGGCAGTTAAGAATCTTTCTTCCGTTAATACGGATATATAACTAGATATACTTATCTACCTAGGTCTGTACCTAATCGTGAAATCCTTTAACTATAATTTTAAAAGGTAGTCTACAGATAAGTACCTAGAGAGAGCTAGATATAGAAAGAGCAATAGCAGAATTTAAAAAAAGAAAACCTTAGGCTCTAGTATTAACTAGAGATTCTAAGCTAACCCTATAACTCTTCGAATATAAAACGGTAGAAGTACGGAAATGTTTACCTCTAAACAAGTTTAATAGATCTATTTTCGCAAGGTTATACTTATTCATACCTAGGCTAGAGCGTTTCTCTAGGCCTCGTCATTTCCCGACCAAGTCTCATCCGAATAATACTTAAGGGCGTCCTTATAATCTTCTATCTCTACTTAAATTTCTCTTACCCGCAGGACTAGATAGTTATTAGCGTAGTGGCCAGGCTTACCGCAGTAGTAGTAATTGCCAGGAGTAACATTATCTAGTGCGGGAGTTTTCGATGCTGGTCTGAGAGTAGAGGAATAGGCGCGGTACGGAGTCGGGGCCAGATCGGGCCTAGTATCGTAGGTACGAGGTCGAAACTCCCGATTTAGCCGTAGATTTTATTTTATTAAGAGAGCTAAAGCTTAACTAGGCCTAGTCTCTAAGTAGATACTAAGTAGTGCGTTTCTTCTTTCTATATTAAAAGCCGTTAGGTGCTGAACTATTTTTTCAAACAAGTCTACCCACAGATACTTAAATTCTAAGTTTAGGGCTCGTAGCGCTAGTATAATCTTCTCCTAGAGGTAGAAGAACTATTCTAATCTTAATACGGACCCTTTTACGGCTGCACTAATAAAGTACGCTTTAAATTCCATAAAGGTCTTCTTTCTTCCTATTAATAGGCGGTGGAAAGCTGCTTAGCTCTCCGCCTATTTATTTTTAGATATAAAATATAATTTAAGTAATAAAATTATATCCTCAGCAACTAGGAACTATTCCTCCTCTAATTCGGCGAGGTATCATAGTTCTAGATATTCTTTAGCAGTACTAGTTATATAACCCTATTGTCACGGCGCTGGCTGAGTGGCCGGCGCGCGATCGTCTGATTGGCTGCCGACAGAATCCGGGTGAGGGTCCGAGCACCCGGATTCTGCAAAACCGCCGCAACTTCACTAGTGTAGCTCTTCGAGCTACGTCCTGTCTTCTACTCTATACTACCTGTAGTGAGAGCCTGTTGATTAGCTGTAGCAATAGAACCTGTACACGCGCCTGTCCTCTCTGCCCGTGAGCCCGTACCGTGACATTAC